CCTCCGGCATCCTGGCACCGCCCCCCTCCCCCCCACACACACACACCATGCACAGACCAGAGTATGGGTGGTCACTCTCCTCCTCGCCTTCTCCGTCCTCCGTCTTTCAGTTTGCCACAAGCACACCCGGGGCCCAGATGCCTTGTGTCCCTGGGGCCTCTGGGACCGGCCCTACTGCCCTCTGAGCTGGGCTGGGCACCACGTTTTGCTGAGATAAGTCAGCGGGGCAGGGCTATTTTCTGCCCTGGCAGGAAGTGAGAATGGAGGATAAAAGTGGACAGGAGGCTAGATCATGATCTTTCCCTTCCTCTCCTCCACACAACTGGCCCGTGGCGTCCACCCTTCTGGCGCCTGACCAGGGATGCAGAGGGGAGCTGAACAGAAGGGGGGTGGGTGATTTGGGACACTGATGGGGGCAGGGAGGGAAGACAGACACCTCCAGCTTCCTCCTGTCTGCTACCCTCCCCATGGGCTTCCTGCCCCTCTCCCCACCCCCCACTCTCCCCGCCTCTCTGAACATCCACCAAAGGCCTTGCTCTTGTCACCTCTTCTTCGGAATCTACACCCTTCGGAAATTTGGAAAGTGGGAATCTTCAGTCTCTTCATCCTTCTTGCCCCAGAAGACCAGCTCTGAATAGCTCTGGCCTACTTTTAGATTTGGGCAGTCAAAAGCCCATCAGCGTGTTTCCCCACCCCCACCCTCACCACACACATTGCGCCGGCAACCAGACCCGGGTAGCTAACTGAACCCACTTCCTCTCCTGCCGCACCCTGGCAGCCACGAGAAGATTCAACCTCTACCCACAGACACGTGTGATTATGAAGACTCTTAAGGCCTGCATGTTCAGATTCCCCAAACGGATGCAAACTGTACTGAGCATCCAGAGGAAGCATGACGAAGTCTAAAGGCTTTATGAAAATCTCTGTCCCAGGGTTGCTCTGGAACACAGATGAATCCTGCCCATCAGCTTGTCCTCGGTCTGGGGAGTCTGTGAAAGTGACTGATAGTCGCTCAATCTTGTCTGACTCTTTGCGACCCCAGGGACTGTAGCCTGCCAGGCTCCTCAGTCCATGGAAGTCTGCAGGCAAGAATACTGGAGTGGGTAGCTGTTCCCTTCTCCAGGGGATCTTTCTGATTCAGGGATCGAACCTGGGTCTCCCACATTGCAGGCTGATTGGAGCAGTCTGTAAGGTGGAGATAGTACCAGATCACCAGGTTGAGTGGATGGCCTCCTCCTGACCCAGGGGTCATGGTCTTCCCTTCCACGTGTCCTGTCTAACCTCCATCTTCTTTCCTCTCTGGTCCAGGCCTGCTCTGCTTTCTGCAGCCCAGATCCTGCTCCAGCCTCTCCCCACCCTTCCCCTCTTGGCCTGTCTTCCAGTTCTTCCAACATCATCCTTGTCTGCATCTTTTCCCTTTCTCTATTCTCACCCCATCTCTCCTTTCTAGGAAAAGGCCAAAAGTTCAATGATTAGTCGCCAGGTGAGTGGCTGTCACCTCCCCACCTGAATACATTTCTCCACCCTGCTGTCAAGAGCTGGAAAAACAGGAAACAAAGTCTCAATCGCTCAGGACTCAGATGGGATCAACTCTCGGCAGCCCTGTGCTCTGGGTGGTCCTTGTTTTGGGACTTGGCTGGGTCCCACAGACTCGCAGAAACCTCGGGAAGCCTTTGGATTCATGGACCTGGCCCTGCCCTTGGGCAGCACTGAGTGTGTGTGGTGTGGAGCCCTGAAGCCTCTGCAGTCCCTCCCCGGGGGCCTGGGCTTGGGAGGCTTCTGAGCTGCTGGGGTGCATGCTGAGGGACATGCACACGGACACAGACAAGGACACAGCCGGGCTCTGTGGTTTCTGGGTGGCCAGGAGGTGAAGCTCAAGGGTTGAAAGTTTCTGCTTCTGTCTCAACCCAACCCTTGCCTCCAGGTCCCCTTCGGAGACAATCTCAGCTCACCCTGAAGGGACCAGAGATGCGACCTGATGGGAGGCCCCTTTCCCATCAGGGAGGCCCCCACAAACAGGGAACAGCCGCCCTCAGTGGTGTGACACACGGGTGTCAGGAGGCCCTGCTCTTGGACTTCCCTGGTGGTCCAGTGGTTAAGCATCCGCCTTGAAATGCAAAGGACACTGCTTTGATCCCTGATCTGGGAAGATCCCACATGCCTCGTGGCAACTAAGGCCCTGAGCCGCAACAACTGAAGCTCCAAGCACCTAGAGCCCATGCTCTGAAACAACAGAAGCCACCACAATGAGAAGTCCGTGCGCCACAACTCGAAAGTAGCCCCCACTCTCTGGAGCTAGAGAAAAGCCCGTGTGTAGCAAAGAAAACTCAGCACAACCAAAAATATATAAATAAATAAATATTAAAACAAAAACAAAAGAAGGCCCTGCACACCCTCAAATATGACCCCCACCCTGACCCTGTGCCTAGTATCTGAAATTTTGTCCACTGCGTGACACTCTGGGACCACATTCTACCAGACCTGGCAGGACATTGGAGGCGTCTGGCCTAAACATCTTATAAAGAAAATGCCCTGGGTGAAGCCAGTGTCTCTCAGGCGCCTCTAAGACACTGGAGTTGGCTGGGAAGGTCCCTATGAGAGCAGGTCTGTGCCTTGAACCCGCTCGGGAGTTTAATCAGGTCAGGTCACTGTTACCAGCCTGGCCCTGGATGAGTGGGTGTTGGACATTGTCTTATCTGAGAATAAGAGAGTGTTGGAAACCATCCCCAGAGGGCCCTCCATTCCTCTGGGCCCCTGGGACCCAGAGTTCAGCGTGAGAGTAGGTGAAGGGGAAGACCCAGCCCCCAGGACAGACAGGCCCAGGGGCTGGCTTCATGCTCCAGGGCACGTCCTCTGTCTGCGGTCTGCCTGCCTGAGGTCGCCCCTTTGAGCTCTTTATTCAAAAAGACTTCCCCAGGCCCAGGGCCCCCTCTCACCTCCACTCCCACCCACGTCCCCCAATTCTAAAGGAGGGGTGCTGTCCTTGTGCCCCTCTGAGGTTCAATCCCACCTGTGATGCCGCCTTACCTGTGCTCATCGGTGTGGCTCGCCGCTCTCCCCAGCTGGCTTCTGCCTGCTCTGGGCCGGGCTGGGCTGGTAGGACCTGCTCCCGGCGGTGGGACACACCCACCTCAGCAGATCTCAGCAGATCCCAGCACCCTGCACGCACCCGCACCCAACCCCGAGACAGCGGGCAGGGGGAGAGACAGAGGAGGAAGCGGTGACCTCAATGCCTTCACAGTTCGGCCAGAGAAAAAACCCCAGCAGATAATGGCATTTAATGCAGCCCCAACCCTCACCCACTAATGCCCCCCCCCCACCACCCATCCCTCTCACACCCCTTGAAGTTTCCGGGAAGCCTAGCTGTCACACCCAGTACCACAGATTTTTAATGACTAACCCCCAGCCTCTTGCTCTCCTGCCAGTTCCCCATGGCTGTCTCGTCTCTTCTGGGTTCCAGCAGATGGTTTTGCTCTTGTCACAGGTGGCTTATACCTCCCTCTGTGTGTTTGTGGGGGAGGGGGAGCAGGACTCAGAAGACAACCCCTAGTCTCCGCAGCCTGGGCTGAGCCCCCTGTCTTCCATATCAATAGGGCCAGGCATGTTGTCTGCACTCAGTGCAAAAAAAACAAAACAAAACAAAAAACATGCTTTAAGCCCTAGGTGAAAAAGGACATTGTGGTTGAATGTGTATGGGAAACACTAAGTCGAACAGGTTTCTCTATTACAGGGTTTCTCAGGGTCTTAAAAGGTTGACCACATGTTGATAATAAAAGCTGGGTAATGAGGGCATGATGGTACATTGTGATTCTGTTAGTTGCTCAGTCATGTCTGACTCTTTGCGACCCCATGGACTGTAGCCCACCAGGCTCCTCCTTCCATGGGACTCTCCAGGCAAGAATACTGGAATGGGTAACCATTCCCTTCTCCAGAGGGTCTTCCCAACCCAAGGATCGAAACTGGGTCTCCTGTGTTGCAGGCAGATTCTTCGTCTGAGCCACCAGGGTTGCATTACTCTATATTTGTGCACACTTGAGCTTTTCCCTAACTTTTCTGTTAAATGCTATATAGTTACCCACACGTGCGTGTCTCCAGAATATGTTTTGGGAGATCCGTTATTATTTTTTTTGAAAGATTTTGTTTTTTTAATGTGGATCATTTTTATAAAGTTTTATTGAATTTGTTACAATATTGTTTCTGTTTTTTATGTTTTTGGTTTTTCTGGCATGTGAGATCTTAGCTCCCTGAACAGGGCTCGAATCCACACCCCCTGCCACTGGAAGGCAAAGTCTAAACAGCGAGGGAAGTCCCCCCAGGTTATTTTTTAAACTTTTTAAAAAAGTTGATATGTTGTATTTTCATTTTTAATCAGTTCAAGAATTTTTTTTTTCCTTTTTTTTATTTTTGGCCACGTGGCATGTGGGATCTCATTTCCCCAACCAGGGATCAAACCTGAGCCCCCTGCATTGGAAGCATGGAGTTTTAACCACTCGACCACCAGCAAAGTCCTGATCCCAGGTTATTAGAGGCTGATGCTGGAGTCACATCTCCATGCACACTGTCATGATGCGGCTCCCCCACATTTGGACCACTGGGCCCATGACTGGATGTCAGAGCAAGGGCTTCCAGCCCAGTTGCTTCCTCCTTCCTATAAATGGCAAATTCTGCTGTACTGCCTGGGGCTGGCCCCCTGGGGACACAGTCTCATTCAGATGACCCTCCAGAGGGACAGTCCTACACTCACATCTGAGATCATGGGATCAGAGCTTCAGAAATGGAGACACACACACCCTCATAGCCCACATGGTCCCCAAGACACTGGCCATGACTTCTGACTCCTCAGTCTTCTCCTGGCACAGGACTGCTTCCCTGAGAACCACCCCCAGGGTTCCCTTGCCGACAGATGGCTTCATAAGTGCCAGGGATTGGAGGACTGACTCCCTGGGGAAAGGGGGTGGGCAGGCCCAGGAGGGGATCACAACCAAACCAGGCCACACAAGTTAAAAATAAACATTTTATGTACAGACATCCTTTAAGGTGGGCAGAGTTCCCACCACCGACCTCTCTGGGACCACTGCCCCAACCCAAAGGACACGTGATTCGGGCCAAGTAAGAGACAACCCAGGGTCTGAAAGCAATAGAGTGTGGGAAGGGGTAGCGGGCGGGGAGAGGACAGAGTCCAGCTCATCCGGCTTGGCCAAGGGTCAAGGTGCTAAATTCCTGGCTCCATCGAAGCACGAGGTCCTCACTCTTGTCCTGAGTCAGGACGGTGTACGTCTCATTCTGCAGACATCTCATGCGGGACACCTGCCCGGGGTCCGAGTGGGCGAGCCAGGAGCCAGAGGTGTCAGAAGTCCAGACCCCGGGGCGGGGGCGGGCGTGGTTGCAGGGAGTGCAGGAAAAGTCAGGGAAGGCGGAAGCTCAGGTGTGGCTTTTTTAAAAAGCAGCCAGAAACACCACATAGCCCGACCCCCTCCTTTTAGAAATGAGGAGCCCGGGGCTGGAGAGGAAGTGACTTGGCTCAGACGACTCGGTGAGTAAGAGCAGCAGGCAGGACTGACACCTAGACATCTCCGACCAACCTGGCTGGGGGTTCTTCCATCCCGGTGTGTCCCAGGGCCTCTGATCAGCAGCCTCCCCTTTCCACCTCCATCCGGGAACCCTTGGCCTAGGGGCCTGGGAGAGCTGCTCACCTCACGGCTGGAGGAGTAGGGACAGAGCTCTGGGGAGACACACCTGCTCCTCACACCCCCACCCCCATGCTCAGATGGAAGCCACGGCTCAGGGTGTGCGGGGGAGGTGGAGAGGTGGCCAGAACAGGTCAGCATGCAGTGACCCATGGAGGGGCTGATGAGGGGGGGCAGTGGGAGGGGCTCACCTTCCGGTCCCTGTTTCTCATCATACACTGCTGGCTTTTGAAGGCACAGTAGTTGGGGTACTGCACATATTCCGTGTCACAGATCTAAGGCAGGAGTGGGGCATGGGAAGCGGGAGACTTCAGAAGCCTCAGAGCCCTTCAGAGCACCCCCCCCCACGGCAGAAACCAGGGCAGAGAACCAGACCCTCTGCACCGGGGTGTCCCCTTCAGTGTCAGCCTCAGTGTCTGGGAAGAAGCTGGGAGCTGAAACTAGGAAGGGGCTGCTCTGCTGGTCAGCAGGCTGCGAAAGCAGCTGAGGAGAGGACCGGGGAAGGGAGTACCAAGGCTCCAGATCGTGGAAGGGTCCCAAGTGGCAGTCCCATCTCAGGGAACCTCCTGGGGATGGCTTAGGATGGAAGAGGTGGAACTGTTTCTAATGTGTGACCCTGGGGAGAGCCATTTCCCTCTGTGGCCCTCGCCACCCCACCCATAAACCCAGGGGAACAGCTGAGATGGTCTGAGGCACTGTCCAGATCTAAGGGCTCAGGAAGGAGAGCTAGGCGGAGGCCCTTCTGCTTAGCTAAAAGCCCTTTCTTAAGTGGCCTCCACTTGTCCTGGTCTTGATTTTTTTCCGTTAAACTACAGAAGGCCGGGGGTGGGGTGGGAGGGCAGTGCTGGCTCTTAGCTACAACAGGTTGATCCTCAGGGGAGGTGACTTTGTGGGAGGGGGTAAAGCTGATCCCATTGAGAGGGAAAGCACTGGAAGATTCGGGAAGGAGCCTACAGACTAAGGCAGGGAAGCACTGGATCACCGTCAGCGGCACTTCAGGCATCACCCAGAGGTTTGTCTTAGGAATGAGGCCTCCCACCCCCACCCACCGAGGGTAACCTGCAGAGCTGGAACCAGATTCATCTCGTGCCCCCAAGTCCTGTACCCTCCGGCCTCCCAGATTCCTAGTCCTTTGCTAAACACTATCCTGGTCTCCTGGGGGCCCAGGGGAGGCGGAGGTAGGGTGGAGGGTGTTGGGGAGGGGGGAGGGGAGTCTGCTGGAAAGAGGCAGGAGGCTCAGTGAGGAGCAGCTCTCAGAAGCCAGGGCTCCAAGACACCCCCCACCTCACATTCTGGGGTTCCCCAGAGCAAGGGACCAGGAGGAAGCATGGTGAGTGGGGTGGGGCTGACCCTGGTGGGAAAGTCTCCATCCTGGAAGCTCAGGAACTCAGTCTGGAGCCAGCTGGCCACTCGGTTGTCTTCGCAGCCCTTAGTGGCCAGCCGGGCACACCAGAAGTCCATGCGCAGCCCGCCGTACAAATCCAGCCCGTAAAAGCGGCCCGATTTCAGGCTCCCTATCTGTGGCACAGGGCACAGGAGAGAGGTGGGTACCCTGCTCACCCCCCAGCCCCCAGCTGCCCGGCCCTGCCTCAAGCCCTACCCCCCTACCCCCCACCCCCACTGCCACCACTGCAGCCCGCCCGGCTGGTTCGGTACCTGGGTACCGATGGTCATGCTCTGGGAGGCGAGCAGGGGGCTGACGAAGGGTGTTTTGTGGGAGCTGTCGCACTGCTGTCGCTGCAGGTTGGCCTCCGAGTGGCACTGCTCCAGCTTCAGTGAGCAGAAGTCACAGAGGGTACACGCGGCTAAGTGTCGCCGCCCCAGGCTGTCACAGACCTGCGGAGGGGTGCGGCTGAAGGCCTGAGGCTGAAGTCCCACACCCCCACAGAATGTCTCCACATTAAGCCTTTTCCAGAAGCTCCTCTGGCTTTTCCCAAACCCCCTCCCCAAGGTCCTCCCCTCAAGGACCTCCCATCAGCTCTCTATTTCTTCCCCCTCCTCCAGTATGGTTTATTTCCTCACAAACAATCTTCATCTTCCTGCAGGTGACACCCAAGCCTCTATCATCCATTCTGATCTCTTTCCTGAGCCCTGAATCCCCATGGCCAAGTGCCTGACAGATGTCTAACTTCTCTTAACTGAAAAAGGCTCATAGTCCTCCCTTTCTCTCTGCTAATGATAATGCTAATATTTACAGAGAGCTGGCACGGTGCTGTGCACCATGGCTAATAAATGCCTGCATCTTATTTGGTCTTCCTAGGAATAGAATAGCTACTAAGCATGGCTCCACTTGCCTGCCCAGGAAATTGAGGCTCCCTGAGGCTGAGTCACTTGCTCAAACACACATCTAGTGCATGATGGACCTGGAACACTGGTCTGGCTGCTTCCTACTCAAAAACCCAGGTCCTCTGCTGGAGCACCTGGGTTCACAGCCTCCAAGTTCTTGAAGGACCTTCTTGGATATGGAGCTGCCCATCTCCCTGCGGGGCTCTCTGCCCTGAGAGAGTCTCCTCAGGAAGATCTCGCTAGGCAGGATCTCCAGGCTGCCCCTTCAGCGCATCACAGTCACAAAATCTCTTACGCTGCCTTGCTTGCTCCTCATAACAGCTCATGGGGGAGGCATCATCAGGTCCCTAATCCCAAATCATGACTGAATTCCCCTTTCCTACCAAATGAAATACAACTGCTTCAGACTGCCATTCGGGATTATTCACATCATGGCCTCTTTGTCTCTGTTTCCAAGTAAAATGGGCTCCTTACTATTTTTTCAACCAAGCCCTAAAAGCCAGTGAGCTCTCCATTAGTCCTGAACTTCCTACGTGCAGTCCACCTCCACCAAAAAATAAGTCTCTTTCCATCATCTACCAACCCACACTCCTTTTGTATAATGCAACTCAATCTCAGCTCCCTGAGGGCAGGAGAAAGAGTTACAGTGTGCTCATTCTTGGTCCCTCTTGGAATTTCTTCTCTTTCTTGCTTCTGAGCCTTTGCACACACTAGTCTCTCTAGCAGGAACCTTCTACCAACCCCTTCTTCTGCCTGGTTAACTTCTTTTATCTCCAGGTCTCAGTTTAAACATCAGTTCCTCTAAGAGGCATTCTTCGATCCTGCCCCAGCATGACTTTTGTGCTCTCCATCTGCTCTCTGCACTTTGGACTTATCCGTCGACGCGTCGATCCCTGTCACACTGGTCTCTCTTTCGTCTCTCTCTCCCAGTGGACTCCAGGAGGACAGGGGATTGGATCTTGTTGCACTCATCGCTAAAATACCTAGGACAGAATTGCTAGTGTCTCAAATACCTAGCCAGATCAATATCTGTTGAAGAGACGGATGCACGGATGACATGCCAGCTCTTAGCACACATTTGCTAACTTGTGCTTTTGGAAAGTCCTACACTTCTTGGGAATAGAATTTGCTAGGTTCTGAGGACACATAGAGATTGGGATCTCTCTACAGAGCCCTGGAACGGGTTCTAGGACCCCTCCTCGAAGAAGAGCTGCATCTAAGGTACAGCCATGTCCTGCGGTTGGTGAACTGGCTCTGGACATGACTCAAGCTTAGCAACTGAGCCACAGAAGGAATTCTGGCCAGGAATGCATTCCAGACTCTGTGTTGAGCCTCCCTCCTTTTAGGGGAGCTGGAAATGTCTTTCCAAGAAGGGGTTCTCACTTGAAGAGTCTCTCAGGTTTACTGTGGTCCTGCCCATCCTCTACTCCCTAGGCCCATGAACTTGGAACCAGTGAACAGCTTGGTGGGCATACCGACATCCCGAAACCAAGGATCTCATTTTCCAAGTACTGCCAGGCCTTGGCTGTCGGGGTTATGACGCAGGTGTTCTCCACAATCGAGTAGCACAGGGTCAGCAAGGCTTCCACATGGGGCAGCTGTAGCAGGCTGCAAAAAGACCAAGATGGCACCGCTGCAGGGGATGGGCCGGAGGGCCAGGGCAGACAGCCATGCCCACTCGCTCCCCCTGCCCTTACTATCTAGTCCTAGTCACGTGCATTCAGCATGCTGAAGGTGGCCTTAAAGGCCTCCAGATCAACCGCCTCCTTTTACAGATGAGGAACTGAGACCCAGAAAGGGGAAATGGAATTTGCAGTGCTCATCAGAGGCAGAGAGAAACCCAGAACCCAAGTCTGGTAGCTCTAGCTTCAGGGCTCACCGCAAGCCAGGTAGAGATGGGCATCTAGGACAGTGCTTAAGCCACAGGGCAGGTGAGGTGGGCACCCTCTGGGTGCACCTAAAGCCCAAGCAGATCTGGGTGGGTCTGAGGCCGAGGCTGGCCAAGTGGGCTTCTCATCCCCAAAGGCAGGAGGAAGGGTGGGGCTGGTGGGGGAGACAGAACTTCCAGTACCTGCCAGGGCTCTGGGATCTCCAGATGGTGTCCCCATCATACACATCATTCATTTCATCCATCTCCTGCGCCGATCGGATAAGCTCCTGGAGGTTCTCCATCAACATCGGAGTAGATTCCACTTCCCGCACCCGGGGAGTGAAGGAGAAAGGGTTGGAGGACACAAGTTCAGACGGAAACTTGGGCTCTGGGTCTGCCTGCAGCCTGGACACCGACTCCAGCGCCTCCTCTGTGCCCTGGCCCTCCTCCTGCTTCTCCTCCTCCTGCTCCTCCTCCTGCTCCTCTTGCTCCTGCCCTTCCTCCTGCTTGTGCTCCTGCCCCTGCTCCTGCTTGTGCTCCTGCCCTTGCTCCTGGCCGCCCAAGGACAAGGAGGACTGGAGCAGCTCCTCCACGTTGCTGTTCAGCCGCTCGGGCCAGGGCTGGAAGACCTGTCGTTCGGTGGCTGCAACAGGGTTCGCGAGGGACGGAGAGAGAGAAGGGAAAGGGATGGTTAGGCTTCTGGCATTCTGTCTTTGCAGAGGGACACGCATAAATACATAAATGCACACAAACACACATATAAACACATAAGCACACTCAAAACACACACAGAAGCACACACAAACTGACACATAAACATAAAAGCACACAGACACACATAAACACACACACATAAGCATACACACACATAAACACATAAGCACACACACACATAAGCACATTAGCACACACAAACACAGAAGCACACACATAAACACAAAAGCACACACACATAAATACACACAAACACATAAGCACATACAAAACACACACACATAGGCACACACATAAACACACACATAAGCACAAACACACTCATAAACGCATAAGCACACACAAACACTCATAAACACATAAGCACATACAAACACGTAAGCACACACACACACATAAACACAAAGGTAGAGGAAAGCAGCCTAAACTACACATGTTCACACAACCAATCATAAAAAACAGGCAAGAATACAAATATCAAAACAATAGTACTATGTGACGGTGGTGGCAGTGTTACGGGTCCCCTTTCTACCTCCCTCACAAGGGGTCCTCTTTCCTAACCCACTTCAAATACCACCTTTTGTCCCTCTCACTTAGGAAGCACCAAGTATTTTGAATACCTAGCAACCAATCCTTTCTGGAGTGAAGATGTGAGCTGAGAAAAGTGCCAGAGGACTTCTTAATGCAAGAGTGTTTTGGGGAGCAAGGAAAAATCAGTTCAGGGCAGAAATGGATGTAATGTCAGAAAACATCCTGATACAGGAAAGCCCTAACTTGTATTCAAAAAAGTAGGCTCTCCCCTTATGCAAACAGCTGACCAAGGGTACTTCCAGCAGCTCACCTCCCCAGGTCCCTCCTGCTGATACCTTAAGCCCTGGGTTTGGGGACTCTGGGATGAGAGGCTGGCAGGGTCTCACCTGTGATGTGGGAGGAGATGGAGGAGGTTGCTGTGGTGGGTAACGGCACTTCAGGTGAACTGTCCACCTCCTTGAGGGTGTTGGGTGAGAGGATGGAGACTGGCTGGGAGCACCGGACCCTCTGCAAGGAGAGAAGCAGAGTGGGAATGCCTTTCACAAAGGGCACATTTCCACTCTGCCTTATCCTCCATCCCCAGCCCTCAGGTCTCCTCTCTCACAGTTCCTGGGAGGAAATGAGGGGACATGGCCCTGAGTCGAACCGTCTAGATCTGAGACAGGGTCCCTTGCAAAATCAGACGCCCGGCCGCCCATATTCCTGCCTTCCGGCTTTCACATTTGACTTGAATGACATCACTGTTGGGAGGAATGGAAGGGCTTCTCTCTGCCTCCTCCCATCCTTCTCCCTTACTTTTCTGGCAATAAGGGGATTGGTCAGAGAGTCTGAATGCCCAAGGTGAGACGGTGGACACATATAATCTGGGTGTGTGCAGGCCAGTGACCAAGAGGGAGGACCTAAGGATGGCCTGGAGCCCTTCCTCAGTGACACCAGGTTCAAGCTGTCTTGACCTCACCTTGGCGTAGTAGACATGGTTGGAGCAACGATACTGGGTGAACTGGCAGAAGGACTCAAACCAGGAGGCGTAAGGGAGGTCAGAGCAGACTGCGCCTAAGGAAGGGTGGGGCACAGGTGAACACAGGGGTGTAATCCCTCCAGGAGGGAGGGCGCGATGGGCTCCTGGGGTCCAGAGAGCCGGGCACCCGGGCTCAGGGCCCAGGGCCATCTGTCCCCTCGCCCTGGGTCAAGGGAGCACAGGGTCCGGCACTACCGTCCGGCACTAGGCCTCACCGTCCGGCACTAGGCCGTGGTTTTCATACTGGTCTAGCTGGACGAGGGTGGGGTTCCGGCAGCCGTGGGTGGCGCGGAGCCGGCAGGTGGTCTCCGCCTTCCAGGTAGGGGTCAGCAGTGCGAAGAAGCGCTCATACTCCGTGGGGGACAGGGGGCTGCCCGGCGTGGAGGTCGAGGCGGAGTCCTGGGCAGGGGCCGGTGCCAGAGGCAGGAGCAGCACTGCGGGTCGGGGACAGACCACGATGGACTCCTCTCTGCACCCGCCGGCCGGGAACACCCACCCCGAGAACGGGGCGTGCACTCGGGGACTGGGCGTCTGGCCGCCAAGCTGGGGTGAGTGTGCGTGGGGCTGGGGGGGGTGGGTGCGGCGATGGGGAGAGGCTGGAGGCTCCCCGGGGGAAGGCGGCTAGGAGACGGTGGAGAGCTCCGGGGACGGAGGCGCGCTCACCCCTCAGGAGTGAGAGAAAGGTGCCTGCGGCGAGATGCCTCATGGCCCCAGACGGTGGCCCGCGTTCCCCGGACCGAGCGCCTCTAACGGGCCAAGCCAGGGAGAGCAAACAGGCTGGCGGGCGGGGCCGCGGGGGGCAGTCCCGGCTCGAGGACAAGGACGGCTGGAGTGATCTCGGACTCTGCCCGGGGCTGGATGGCGTAGCTCCCGTCTGTTCTTTACCTTTTTCTTTACCTTATTACCTATCCCATCTCCAAGCTGGCCCCACACACTGGACAGTTTTTCTCCCCTACTTTACAATCTGGCCTTCCAGTAGTCACATAGGGATGTGAGAGTTGGACCATAAAGAAGACTGAGCACTGAAGAACTGATGCTCTCAAACTGTGGTGTTGGAAAAGACTCTAAGAGTACTTTGGACTGCAAGATCAAACCAGTCAGTCCTAAAGGAAATCAGTCCTGAACATTCATTGGAAGGACTGATGCTGAACCTGGATCTCCAATACTCTGGCCAACTGATTTGAAGAGCCAACTCACTGGAAAAGAACCTGATGCTGGGAAAGATTGAGGGCAGGAGGAGAAGGGGGCGACAGAGGATGAGATGGTTGGATGGCATCATCGACTCAATGGACACGAGTTTGAGAAAGCTCTGGGAGATGGTAAAGGACAGGGAAGCCTGGTGTGCTGCAGTCCGTGGGGTGGCAAAGAATCAGACACCACTGACCGACTGGACAACAAATCCCAGGTGAGGAATGGGGCAGAGATGGAACATACAACACAAACTTGGGGCATGGAGGGTAGGAACTACAGAGGACACCTCCAGGTAAGTGAGCCAGAGCGGGGAGTTAAGATGGGGGTTCCGGTGAAGAGACCCTGCATAAGGAGGGCTTAGTCTATGGAAGTGGTTCCAGGTGGGCATAGGCGAGACAGTTCATTGGTGATAAGTTTTTGCTTTGTGTTTCAAATAAGTCTGGCTAATATTTAGTGTAACAGTTCACATATAAAACACAAGTACACATTTATTGGAAATTAAGTGAAAGATATCTTATAGGGAAAAGATGCAGTCTTGAAGGTTTTGGAAACCCCTTGTCTGAGGCCCAGGTCCAGCCAGCTCTGTCCTTCCCATGCTGAGAGGTGGTGGGTCCTGGGGCAGCGGCACCACTTCGGGTTTCACGTCTGGTCCTAATTCCAGCATGTCATCCTCCTGCCTTTTAGCCAACTCAGAGGATACAAACTATGCTCAGCACATGTGCTAAAACAGTGTCTCTACAATAAACACAGCAGGCCAACACGTACAGCTTTTATTCACCAACTCGATTCTGTTACAACTGAGATACCGACACTCCGCCCTGCCCCTCCCACTCACAAGGCTGGACGAATCCTCTCGGCACAGAGGAAGGGGTGCCCCTTCAGCCAGGGCCATGGCCCAGAGGACCCGGAGGAGCACCCCGCTGGAAAAAGCATGGAGAAAGTGAAGGAAGTTTATCACGCATGGCCCCCTCCAACAAGGGGAGGGAATCAGGAAGCTGGGGGAGGGCCCCATGCTACTGCCCCAGTCCTTGAATACAAAGCAACAGGAGAAAAGAGGACCATCCCTCAAAAACACAGCACCAACCTCGGCGTGGAGGCAAAAGGACAGTGGGCAAGACCACTTCCCTCTGAAGGGGGCAGGCTGAATGACAGCACAGACCGTTAGCGGCCACAGCACCCCTGGACCAGGGCTGGGTGCAGCCTCAGCACCGGAAGTGGGGAGGGGAGGAGAGGAGATGACAACCTGGTGCCACCCACCTCTCCCTGACCCCCGGCCCAGCCAGGCATCCCACTCCCCACTAGCCAGGTCAGGGGATGTGGAAGAAACTGTGTTGGAATCCAAGGCCCTTGTCTATTTCTTTTTTCGTTCTTGGGAGCAGCGTGGGCAAAACCTACAAAGGAAGGTGACAGAGAAGGTGGGGGAGAAGGTGAGCGAAGGGGAGGATGCTCTCTGTCACTCAGCTCAGGGAAGTCCAGCCCCGACCACAGCACGCACTCACCATTTCCCCCGAGGCTTGGTGGTCAGCCCCACACAGGCAAAGTGGAACCACTCGATGGAGCACTGGAAAAGGAAGACGGTGGAGGAGCAGAGGGCAGGGAGCAGGGTGGGGCCAAGGAAAGAAAAGAACCCCCCCCACCTGAGAGTCCTCAGGAGCATTCCCTTATTCCGTCCTGTGGGAGGATTCCTGAAGGGTCCAAGGCCAACCACCTCCAACTCCCTTCCTCCTGTCCTGAGGTCCCACTCTCCGGCCCTTACCCCCATCTGGTACCCAACTCCCTTCCTGTCCCCCAGAGCCCCCCGCCCTGAGGCAAACCGGTTCTTACGTCAGGGTTGTCACAGCCAATCATCTCCCCGTAGGAGACCTGGTGACAAAGGCAATAGGTGGGTTCGTTGGGATCCACAGGCATATCCAACACATCAGAGGGGTGGACACTGCCAAAGGTCACTGAGGGCATCCCATACTCAGGGCTTCTGCGTGCCAAGAGGGAGAGAGAGTGTCACCTGCAAGAAGGGACGCTACAGCTTGACGCTCAGAGTGGCACGAGGAGATCCCTGTGGGGCTAGTGGTCTGTGGCTTCCCCTCTGTATCCAGCAGATACCAGAGTGACAGAGAAGGGGGCAAGGGGCGGGGCGGGGCAAAGAGGAGCCTGTCACTTGGCAGGGTGCTCCCTGACTCACTCACGTGCGCACAAGTTTTAACTTCTTCTGGGCGGCCTTGGGGGCTTCTTCATCGGAGTTTTTCCCTTTGGAACGAGCACGGGCAGCCTTCTTCTCCTTTTGAGTCCGACCTTCCAGGGAAGAGGGGGAGGGGCAGCCAGAAGGCAAGGGGACAGAAAGATGGGTTAAGGACCCCTCCTCTCCTTCAACCTGGGGGTCCTCCCTTGGAGCTGAGGGACGGGCTGGCTGTCCCCTCGGGATCTTCGCTCCAACTCTCATGGCCCACCCCCCTCCTCACTCTTTTTGCCTTTGCTGGAAGAGCTGTCATAGTCGCTTGACTCAATCTGCTTCTCCTTTAGATCAGCTTCAAAGCGGGCCAGGTCTGTGTCCAGTCGCCGAATGTGTTTGTCCACCTGGGTGGGAAAGAAGGAAGGAGAAAAAGAGCTACCAGGCTGGTTCCAGTAAAAGCAAATAGGCTAAGGCAGAATCCATGTATCTCCCAGACCCCAAACAGATCCCAGCATGCTGAAGGAGGGGTGGAGGACCCCGAGGAAGAGACGGGAGGTAGTGGAGAGCCATGGGTAGGGTCATACCATCTCATAGGTCTGCATGGCAAGCTGCACCTTGTCATCACCAAACTCCTTGCACTTGCCATAGGCTTCCTGGATCTGCCTCAGAAGGGCCAATTTTTCCTCGGAGCTCCGGCTGCGGGCACTACTCATGTATTCACTGGCCAACTTGTCAATTTCAGCCTTCAGGTCTACAACAGAGACAGAGGGCTGGTCACAATGGCCCCCGAGTGGCAAGGTTAAACACACTTCTTCCTCTTGTTCCTGGGACCTTTTGCATTGACCATCATAACCTTTGAACTAAAACACACTCAACATTCCTCAAGTGATGCAACGTGCCCACAACATTCATTGTGAAGGCACCTTTGATTGCTGGAAACATTGTTAGCATAGTTGAAACTAGACTTCTGGAAACACAGGAAGGATTCTTTGCATGCTGCACTAATATTAAGTACGTTTCTGTCGATGTCTGAAGATGCTTCTTTGCATAGCTTGCTGCCTTTTAAACCATGACCTCTGTCTCAAAAGCCATTTGGTTTCTCGTCTCAGAAACATCCTGGGATAGGGCTCTGAGAGCTGCAGACCAGGCCGTCATCTGCTACTGCTTTTGACTTCCAGGGTCCATACATCTACATCTCAGCATTGAAAATTAGGCCCAAGTTCATTCATGGAACAGTTCTTCTGCTTACTGTCTACCCTGTTTGGTTCATCATTTGCAACTTGCAAATATTCTTCATCACTTTTTTCTCTTGTGTGTTCATTTTAGATATTGCTCCAAACATTTTACTAGGGGAAGGCTGGTGATGCTCCCAAACACTGAGACCATACATGCTTACTGCCTAATATAGCACTCAGAAAATGTGAATACAGACAAAGGCATGACTCCCAACACGGGGTAGCAACAAGTAACCACAGCAAGGCCCTGTGAGCACATGCTCTGCTTTATTCCAGGCCCTTGGAGGAAGCTGGAGAAGCATGTACGTGGTTCAGTTGTCTCCCAGTGAGTCTTTCTGTGCATGAACTCAAGAGCCAGAACTATATTACAAAGCAAGGAGCCGGTGGTTGGTATTCAGCAGGGAGTTCTCAGGGGCCTATGTCCAGGATCTTAGATGATATTCACTTGTCCATGAGTAAACTGACCCAGAGTAACTTAAATCACAGCTTTAGGCATTCTAACACCAGTTCGTTACACCCCTGGGCAGGGATACATAAGGATACACCTACATATCCTTCAGCAAGCATGGAGGATAGCACCGACAGAGACCTTCGACTATGAGAGACAAACTCGCCCACTGCAATGTAGCCTCAGGCTCCAAGTGAATGTCTCAATGCAGCCAACCTTAATCAATGTCCAAGGACGGCCACAGATAGCACCTAATGCTTCTGTAAGGTTGAAGAATATAGTGTAGAGATTCTGATGTTAATTGCTGCTTTTCCTCCATTTTTTTTTCCTTTTTCTTTTTAACATCTCCTCATGCAACAAAGCTGCTGTGTACCAATGTGAGCTGTAGTCTAAACCCACACTGAATTTTGTGACAGTAATGTTAACAGCCCAGTGGAGTAGAAACATTCTAGTTAGTCTTCCTACAAACATATCGCACATGGAGAACAGAAATGATTCCAGGGTTGATTCTGGTTTTTCTCATTTATCCTGAGGGAGATATAAAGAGCACAGCATCCATCTCTAAATCCTTGTGGCACTGTCACAATACTCCACGTGTTACGAAAAAGCTGACACAGAAACATAGGTCATCATTACTCTCCTTTTAAGAATTGCAAGAGAGGGAAAGAGAAGACAAAGCAATCTAGATCAGACTAGGTGATATGGTAACACCAAACAGGAGGAGAGATGATCACACACAGTCACTCTGCACCGGGCTCCTTACTCTGCACATACCCTCTGTTCTTTGGTCCAGGTCCCTCATGAGCTGGAAGTTTCTCTGCAGTTCAAAGGGCAGGTTTTCAATACCTGGGGAGAAGAGGAAAAACTAAGACTCCCTGGACTTCCCAGGCCCTATAGCTGCTTTTGGGGGCTTCCCTGGTAGCTCAGATGGTAAAGAAGCTGCCTGGAATGTGGGATACCCAGGTTCAATTCCTGGGTCGGGAAGATCCCCTGTAGAAGAGAATAGCAACGCACTCCAGGATTCTTGCCTGGAGAACTTCATGGACAGAGGAGCTTGGCAGGCTACAGTCCATGGGGTTTTAAAGAGTCAGACATGACTGAGTGACTAACACACACACACACCCCCCGCAGACAGTCAGGGAACACGAACACAACACACACAATAGCTGATTTAAAAAATAGGTCCAAAGAGCACTTGGTTATCCCTCCTTCAAACCGTTAGATTATCTGTGACAGCACTCATCATTCCTTTCTCAGGAGGAGCCATGTCCGCCTGTCTCCACACCTAGCTCCCTATCTCTGCACAGCTTTCTCACCATCCCCCCTTTAGTAAACTTTACAAATCAGCCCTTCTCTCTCCATGTCCTCAGGAGTTCCCTGGTGGTACAGTGGCTAAGACTCCCTGCCCCTAACGCAGGGGGCTCAGGTTCAATCCCTGCTCAGGGAACTAGATACCACATGCTGCAATGAAAGATCCTGCATGCTGCAACTAAGACCTGGCACACCCAAATAAATACTTTTTTTTTTTATAAAAAGATCTCTTTGCCCTCAACTTATAAACACCCTCCTGGTACCCTCCATTGATCACACACACACTTCCAATCTGCTCTGCAAACAGTAGCCAGAATGTTCTTTTTAAAAATGCAAATCTGATCACGTCACTCTCCTGTTTATCAACCTCACTTCCTACTGCAATATTCCCAAGTCCTACCCTGCACTTTCTGACCCTTGCTGCACACCAGACCCGACTCAGGTCAGTCCCTGTTTCTGCGCTCTCTGCTCTGTCACACTGGCCTTCTCTGAGTGCCTTGAACTTGCCAGTGCTCTTCCAGACACTTCGCTTTCCACACACTGCTCTCTCTGCCCAGGATGCCCTGCCCCTTCTCTTTCACCCCACTTCCACTATCCCTCTTGGCCTACTGAACTTCTGTTCAAAGTTCAGCTCAACTCTGACTGCTGCAGACTCCCAACAAGTGCCCTGAGTTACGCTGTCATGCTATTCTATGGCTACCCTTTGGCAGGGTAGACACTTTGGGGGCACTTATCCAATGTAATTAAATAAGTAATTATGTAATTAGTTATATGGTATGTCTCCCTAGCTCTCCAGAAGGGTTAGATATGTCTGTCGTCTTCTCTATTTCCCTAGTGTTTAGAACTATGACATGCATACAGAGGATCCTCAATAAATAATTGACTATAAAGGCACGAATACTTATATTTCTCTCATAAAAAAAAAATTCTCTTTCCATGACTTCACTTTCAAACTTTTAAAATGTGTTCATTGCTTTAACCTATAGACTCAGGTCCACCATCAGTTTACTAAGATTAAGTTGCCACTGATTTACCAAATCAAATAATCTAATTATTAGTTCTATCCTAAAAAAAATGTCTGCAGCATTCTCACCATCCTCTTGCCTATGTGTAACTTCCTATTAAGATTCCAAATCTCCTCACACACTTTCAAGTAATTTCATCACTGACATTCCCTTAGCCTGTCCCTTAAATGTTACTATTTTCTTGAGCTTACACTTAAGTTAATCCTATTATTTTCTCACACTTTCTCTGAATGATCTCCATCTCATTTACTCTTACAGATACAATTATTCCCACACTTAAGTCTAGGTTGAATTAAGTATCTTAGTAACTCCTGAATTTCCTATCTTGTTGGTGACATCTTGTTGATATATGTAGACATATATGATATGTGTCTACCTCACTTCCCAAACAGGAAATCGAGAAGTCACCTTAGATTCCTCCTCCTCTCTCAACCACTAATTCAGTCAATCCTGTTATATTTACCTCCTAAATACTTCTGTCACTCCTTGAGATCAGGTCCTCATCTCTGACCAGAACTGTTATTACTTATTAATCTTGTATTACCAGGGCCATCATGCTCCAGTTTACCATACATCAATTACTTTCCTTTATTAAAAATAAATAAATAAATGACTCCATTTAGAAAATCTGTTGGTTCCCCACTATTTAGAGTGCAAGCTTCTTAGCCTGGCTTTAAAGACCATGCACAACCTAGCCTCAGCTACATTCTCCAGTGTCATTTCCCAATCTTTCACCTCAAAGTCCTATACATCAAACACTCTGGCCTCAACTTTCCCTGATCTTGCCACAAACCCATCAGAACACCTTTGCTGATGCTTCCCTCAACCGTCAATCCCTTCTCCCTCTCCACACTGGCAAATAAACACTCAACCTTCAAGATTCGTCACATCCTCTGTAAAGCTTTACCTACACCTCCAGGTAAACTAGTCTTTCTTTCTCCAGTGTTACCAACTGTCCATTTCATGTATTTCTGTTATTTCATCTGTCATACTTTTATAATTATTTATTAAAATCTGTGTCCTACTAGTCTATGAGCACCCTGAGGGGAAGGTCTGTGTGGTATTCATTCTTGTATACCCCCAGTACCTGCCATTATGTCTGACCCACAGCAGGACCTCAATAAACGAATGAATGACTCCCAACGCTAAGGCAAAACTAAGAGAATAGGGTGACAGGCTCTGTGAAGGGATGGGTCACACAAATGGCATAAACAGAACACCAGACTTCCATCTGATGGGAATTGGGTCTTTACTCCAAGAGAAGCCTTCCAGTCCATCATCTGACAGTGGTCACTCGTAACCCCCTATCCCCATGAGAAGGCGCGTCTTCGAAAGAACTGGGCGGAGAAGCGCGAGCAGGTCTTTGTCGCTGCTCCAATGGCAGTGTATGATATACTAAAACGACCGATTCAGAACGACTTTAAGAAAAAGATTATCCTGACGCCGGAGACCTTGAAGACAGGGGCAGCAAATATCTTACCGGCTATGCCTACCAGCCCTTCAAGAGCCGTCCCCTAGCCCCGCCGCGCAGCCCCTCCCTCTTCTACACCTCAGACGAGGCCTCGACCCCGCTGCCCCGCCCCCTATTTCTTCACACACTCCAGTATTTTCTCTCACGCAACACTTCACGATTGACTTTCTGACCATCGGGACTTCAGGGCCATAGAGCTCCTCAACCCGAACCCCCACCCCCACCCCTCTGTGACCCATGACCCGCTCCTCCAGCCTGCTCTTACTGTCCAGATAATGTTCCAAATACATCCCCGCAGCCATCTTGAAGCAAAACAAAGCAACTTCCGCTCCGCCCCGGAAGTGACTGAACGCAACGGGCGCCGAAGCGGTCCTCCACCCGGGTCCTGGAGCCCTTCCGCCCTCAAGGGTAACTTCCGCCCTCACGAGGTCAATTTCCGGTCTGAGTACAGTGCCTGTCGAATCGCCTCCTCCCGGCGCAGACACTCGTCCCTGGCGGGGCGGCCGGGCGTGGGGCCGGCGGCGGCGTTGGCTGAGGGCGCCATTTTGCTTCCTCGCTCAAACTTCGGTTCCCTCCAGGAGGGGGACGTGCGGGCGAGGAGACCTGTCTCTTTGGGCTTTTAGTCCACGAGGAGCTGTTTTCAGCAGCCGGGAAATGTGAAGCTGGCGACCAGGGCAGGTGCCTTCTCCAGTCACGGCGAAGTGTAAATCCTCCCCGTTTCTGTTCACTCACGCGAACGCCAGTTCTCCAGGATTATGTTTTAACATGGAAACAGCTCATTATTTATAAACGCTGCTTGTAAGTACAAAGTACTCCTCACAATAAAGCTGCGACTCTCCTCACCTTTTGTAAGGGTTTCTGTCACTCCAGGATGTTCCTGCTTTCAGTGACAATACTGCTGGCCTTGTCCTCCCATGTTTCTCTCCATTTTTACTCGTTTATGTATGATATTAACTGGCACAGAGCTGTCACAACTGGGCCAGATGGATGCCAGCTATCACCCTGACCCGCGACAGCACAGTGACAAATACACTTCTCATCAGGATGGAAAGCCCACCAAGTGCAGACAGGCCACCACACTGGGGACGCAGATGTCGGTGACCAGAACCGGAGTGTGTTGGGAGATCATTGTCATCCCTAAGCCACACATTCTTGATAATTATCGATGCCACATGGCAGGTTTTTATGACATTTTCAGCCACATAATAAAATGTTTAAAAAAGGGCAAGGTGAAACCCCAGATATACTACTGAGCAGGTGGTACCATCTGGCCACAGAATCTAGATGTCCTACCTCGCGAGCAGCAGGCCCCTGGATAATTTAATCTTCATGCCCAGTTCCTTCTCTACAAAATGACCATATAGGGTTGTTACTATGAGTATGCATATCCTTCAAGAGGGTAAATTCTGATTGTAATACCTGTGATGAAGGTAGGGCTGTTAGTGTCAGTTCAACAGTGAGAACAAGGGGGAAAAAGTAAATATTCAGGAAACTAACAAGACACCACCTACCTGGTCACATGTGGTACATTCATTCCTGTCACACTACAGACTGAGACACTCTGATGCCCACACAAGATCCTGCACCTTAAACCAAGAGGCCTTACTTCACTGATTATCCACACCCACCAGGTAACTAGTAGGTGTCCAGCAGTCCCAGAGATGATGGCCACATTGTTGGACATGGGAGCTTTGTCACAGCTTTTTCAGTGGTTAAAGATCTTTAATTTTCAAACAAAGAAATCTTAAGAGGTGATCTGGCCCAATCCCTTAATTTAACAGCTGAAGCAGCATCACCACCAACACTGGCTGATAGGAGAGAGCCGGGTCTAAGTCAGGGTTTCCCAACCATGCACTACGCCTCAGCACAACCATCCTGTCATTCTTCAGTCCTGGTGATGGTGTCCACCGCTGGAAACCTCTGGTTTTAGGTGACAGCTGAAGTTAGCACTGAGCCCTTGGATCCACAGGTCTTTCCAGGAGACTGTGCTTCCATTTTTTGGATATGGCGCTTCATGGTGTCCTGTTAACGCATGACTGATACCCTGCTCTCACATACTGGGTACTTGGTCCTCAACACAGGATTTGTCTGTAGGAATCCTTATAAACCAAAGTTCCACTTCAGAAATTTCAAGGCTGTGTGGCCTTCTGTGGCTAGGGACAGACACACACACACACACACACAGCCCCATTGCACAGCATTCATTCTTACCATACACACATTACTGTCAATCCTCTGTCCTGGCCTTGAATGCCTCTCCAGATAGCTATTCCCCCCATGCTTATACTCACATCAGTAGCTCCACTGCCTCTGATCCTTTTACACGAATTTATTTCTATACAAGGTTCTAAAAACACCCCTTGGTTTTGTACATAAGTTTTTCTTTTTTTTTCTTCATTTTAAATTGCTTTATAACAACTTGTTTCCTGATTTTTTTCCCCCATTTTCTGTTTTCTCGGAAATCTGCCATGATTTAAAAAAAAAAAAAAAAAAGACAAAAAAATAAAAATGTTGCTGGCCAAGAGACAGGGTGGAGAAAAACAAAAAGGGGACAAAAATAAACAAAACATCAAATATGAAAATTCTGAGATAATGCATTTATAAACACAGAAATGGTTACAACAAAGATGGCCGTGATGAGTGGGTATATATATATTTATATATATATATTTATATATAAATCCGTGTCCGGCAACTGACCGTGGCACCTAGGGAGCTAAGTCCAGTCTTTGCATTTGCCCTGAACTCTCCCTTCTCTGCAGCACTCCCTTGTGGGGTTTCATAAGGAACCCACAGCTCCTTAGGCTGGGGACTGGGAGACAGAGCACAGGGCCTCGGCTGGCAGAGAAGGGGAGAGACTCCAAGGAAAACCATAACCCACACTTCTAAGCCACCTTGACCATTTTGGGGATCTCTGGCCCCTTGGGGACCACATCTCAGCCCTTGACCCCCACCCCCAGACCTCCTTCCAGTATTAGGTAGAATTGAAGTGAGGTCATGAGGGAAAGAAAATGGCTCCCAGGGACAGGGGCACGGGAGGAACCTCTGTTCTTTCGCAGGCAAGAGTAGAACAGGAGGCTGGTTGCATTTAGGGCTCCCTCTGCTCTGACATCCGGGAGGGCCAACCTCTAGTCCTCTTATCAGCCCGAGCTTGGAGGATCACGAGGGTGAGGAGAGAGTAAGTGCCCCGCTGGAATAGTCTCTATGAGGTCATAGCAAACCCCTCCCCTGAGCACCAACCCCCAATTTTAAAAGCTATGCTTAGGCAGGGAGGCTGCCGGATTACGCTACCAGCTCAGTACTCCTCTGCCCATCGGGAGGGCTGACGTTCCTTCTGAAGAGGAGCTGAGAATAAGGATGGTATCCTGGGAAGGAAGGCCGCGCCTGAGGCCCAAGGAGGTGGAGCTGTGGCCTGTCAAAGAAGAAGAGGACTTTTCCCACCGGGAGGAGCTGGAGAAAGGAGGGACCGGCATTTCCTCCCCCTCTTCCCAGTGGCTGGCAGCACAGGTCTCTACGAGCTGGCCAGGTGCTCCACCTGGATGGTGCTGGTGGTGACAGTGAGGCAGATGTCCTTGTGATGCTCCGCCGTCTTATAGGGGGTCAGGTCAAAGGAACACTGGGGTGGAGGGTTCGGGTTGCTGTCCCCGCCACCCCCACCCTGGGGGGCTGCCCCAGGGGACTGGAAGTGTGGTGGCTGTGGCTGCTGTTGCTGTGGCTGCTGCGAAGCCTGAGAGGCCTGGGCTTGGGCCTGGGCCTGGGCCTGGGCCTGGGCCTGGGCCTGGGCTTGGGCTTGGGCTTGGGCCTGGGCTTGAGCTTGGGCCTGGGCCACCGCTGCTGCTGCTGCTGCCGCCTGCACCTGCTGCTGGAGATCAGGAGGGTTGTGTTTGCGCATGTGTTTCATCAGGTACGTTTCCTGGGGGAGATGGAAAAGGAGTTGAGGGGAGGAAAACATAGCTGTTACTTTGCTTTAAATGGAACAACATGGATACAGAGGTGTTCTAGAACCTTGCAGGTTCTCCCCTGAAGCCACTTTCAGGGCTCACTGCTGGGTGGACAAGAGAGGGGGACCTTTATAGTCACTGTGGGCATTCAACTGGCGCAGGGAACGCTGTCATTTTCTCCAACCTCTCTTAACAGAACCTGAACACCTTTTTCTGGAGTCTATGTGTGTGTGTGTCTCTTCAGTGTCTTGACTCTTTGCAACTTCACGGACTGTAGCCCACCAGGCTCCTTTGTCCATGGGATTCTCCAGGGAAGAATACTGGAGTGGGTTGTCATTTCCTCCTTGAGGGGAGCTTCCCGACCCAGGGATAGCCTGCACTGGCAGGTGAGTTCTTTACCACTAGCGCCACCTGGGAAGCCCCAGAGTCTAATGAAGAGGTCTAACTGAAATCTCATCTCACAATTTCAAGGTGCTTTCTTTTGTCGTATGTCTAAGAAAAATGAAGAATCACTGCTGAGCAGTCGGTCCAGGCTTAAAAGACCAGGCATCCTCTACATTCCTTAGCTCTGTGTCTTTTCACTTTGGTTCTCTTTCCTGATTCTGGCAAGCTGGAGCAAGGGAGGAGGCGTGGTCACAGCTCTCTATCGGAAAGGTGGGGTGCAGTGGCTTGAGGGGGGTGGGGAGAGCGCTCACCGACGTGTACGCCCGGCTACAGATGGTGCAGGTGTACACCTTGGCATGCTTCACTGTGTGCGTGGACAGGTGCACCTCCAGTGAGGTCGCGTCTGTGTACGCCCGGTGACAATTGTGGCACTTGAAGGGTTTATCTTTGTTGTGCTGCCGCCTGTGGGACTGAGAAAATTGGGAGGAATGAGGATGGGTGCACCAGACTCTGCCCTCCCGCCTCCTTGACCTTAATGGAAAGCCCTGAGTTCGGTGCCAGGACTCTTGGCCTCTGCTTCTGTCCACAGACAAGAGAAACTGCTTCAGATGTAACCTCAGGAGGCAGCAGCTAAAGGAAGTAGCACCCCTAGGGCAACAAGCACCAGGATCCCAAAAGTGAGACTGGTGGCTATGCCGGGCCATTCATTCAGGGGTTCTCAAAGAGAGGTGCGGGGATCACTGGGGAACACAAAGACCTCTCAGGGGACTGCCAGGTCAAAAGTATTGTCAAAATAGTGGCAGTAAGACACTGTTTGTTTTTTCATGATCATTCTTTCCTGACTGTACAGATAACGTGATGTCTAACATGGAATAGAATAAAAGCAGCACGAAGAGTCCCTCCATCTTCCAGTGAGCCAGATGTTAGAGAAGGAAGCATAAAAATAAAATAATGCCATTCTTCTAAATTTTCTTTTTGGCGGGCGGTGGGGGGAGGATTTAGAGATATTTATGCTGATGTGCAATGGGGTTTGTTATTTTTTTTAATTTTAAAAATTTAATTATTAAAAAAAAATCTTTTAGCTGAGCCACACAGCACGTGGGATCTTAGTTCCCTGACCAGGGATCAAACCCATACTCCCTGCATTGGCAGTGCAGTCTTAACCACTGGACTGCCAGGGAAGTCCCTGTTTGTTACTTTTATAAACAAATTACTAAACAGTTTTTCAGTTTGATAATCTCTGTAATTAGGTGTTATTACCCACGTCAACAAAAGCTTCTTGGGTTCCTGGATGACTGTAAGAGTGTAAAGGGTCCTGAAGAAGTTTGAGAACCACTGGCTGGTAACACGGCACCTCCACCCCTGAGTCTCAGACGTCAGGCCCCGTGTAGGGGGTGGAGCAGTTACCTGCAGGTTGGAGAGCTGTGTGAAGGCTTTCTCGCAGCCTGGGTGTGCACATTTGTACGGCCTGTCCCCGGTGTGGATTCTGCATGGGATGAGAGAAGGAGAAAGGGAGAGCACATCAGTGGGGCCGCTCAGGGACCAGCACCTCAACAGGCCTCCTCGGGGAACACAGCGCGGGTCTCCAGGAGGCACCAGCTCAGGCCACAGGCCCAACTTCTGCTTGCTGCCCATGCCACACGCTCAAGCTAGGCTCCTTTGCGGGGAGGGGAAGGCTGGGGGCCTGGCAGCCAAGGGACAGTCAGGCCACAACCTGGCAGTCGAGGCAGCTCCCACAGTAATCATCCCTCACGAACGTTCAGAAATGTAAGATAAACAAAGCAGTAAGAAGAAACACAGGACACTTCTCCCGTGGCCCCCAACACACAGCCAGAAACTATCACTTCAACCTTAGCACCACTCCCAGAGAAAATTCTGGTGTCAAAGAAGAGCACAGAGTTATGCAAACTGTGAAAGGCAACATGACCCTGGAAATTCCTGGGGTTATGCCTAGTTCTGCCCGAACAGCAGGAAATGCCCAGATTAGTACAAATCTGACCTCTTCAAACACTACAGGGCCCTCTGCTGAGGCGAGCTAAGGACTTGAGGGTCTCCAGACCCCTGCTCCTCGGCAGGTACTTCAGAAGCATCTTTGTGACCGGCTGCTTTTTGAGACCACGGGTGAAAAAATCCTGAAAACCTCGCAGGATGCGTCTCCTTGTAAGGAAAGCCTGATTCCTCCTCTTCGAGAAGCCAGCTGTGGGACCACTTTAAAGGGGAACTGCCACCTCCAGAAACAGCCAGGAGAGGAGGCCTATGGCCAGCAAGACCCTGGACTCCAGCTCAACTTGACATCCCATCGAAGGTCATCAGGTCTTCCAAACGCAGGCTCACCTCCTCCAGGCTACTCGAGGATCATGGGACAAACTGCACATCCTCATGGAGTAGGAGCCTTTTCGTTTCATTGTGCACATTTAGGATATGTTCTGTTCTGTACTCCTGGCCTCCCTGGGAGCCTTGTGAGGTGCTGTTGGTGTCTCCAGGCTGGTAGCTGGCTGAAGTCTCATTCTACCTCCCGTTCATAGTTGGTGCCCGAAGGGCTAGAGGGATGGTCTTCTCCAACCAAATGTCCTCAAGGAGAAAATCTTGCCAGATACGTGCACTTGCCAGGTTGTTTCCAGGCAGGAGGATGAGGGAAGGACTTGTCAGCTCTGCTCTCAGTGGGTTTCCTCCTCCCTCAGATCAGGGAATGGCCCACAGTCATTGCGTCTCCTCGGCACTGCTTCTGACCCACAAAGGCAGATCTCTGAGTGTCCACCGGTGTCTCCAGTCTTGCGTGGTCTTCCTCCCCGGTGCCAGCTCTCTCCTCCAGCCGGGTCTCTCCCCCGCCCCCCGCATGCGGGTTGTTGTGTGTGTCCGGGGCGGGGGTAGGGAGGGCATGCCAGCGGGGCAGGGGCAGTAGCCTGCCACTCTCCCTTACCGTGTGTGCTGCTGGAGGTGGGAGAGCTGGCGGAAGGCCTTCTGGCAGTAGGAACAGTTGTAGGGCTTGGCCCCCGAGTGGATACGGAGGTGCTGGGCCAGGTAGGAGGTGTTGGCGAAGGTCTTGGAGCAGTGCGGGCACTTGTGGGGCTTGATGATCTCCGTGTGCACCTTGGAGTGGATCCTGCCGGAGAGGAGAGGAGGGAGGGGGAGGAGGGAGCGGCTCGACACCACGGGCTCAGCTCTCCGCTGGGTGCAAGGATGCTGCTTGATGGACGAGAGAGCACCCCGCCTCCCTCCCCCCTGGAGAGGCTGGTGAAGAGGACACCTGCGTCTACGCTGCTGCTGATCTTAAATCGGTGGCTAGAATGGCAGTGAGATGATGAAGAGCGGCACCCCTGGCTCCAGTAACCTTAAAGAATTCCAGCTCGTCAGCCCTCCGCGTTGGGCCAAGGTCACACACTCACCACGGACACCCTGCTTCCACACAGTAATCTGAACAAAGACCACCACCGCCTGCTGCCCATGGACCTGAGGCTGAATGCGCACCTTCGCTCTGACCTGAAGTATATAGTAAGAGCAGGGCCTGCTCTGCAGAAGATTTCCAGACACAGACACAGAGAGAAACCGCACAGATGGGTCCAGTCTCTGGGGCCAGAGAGCACAAGTCTCCAGGCCCCACCCCGCCCGAGCTGCAGGGACATGTCATTAGTTTTCACAAACAGCAATGGGAGAGCCGAGGCTCCCCGGGGCAAGGTGGAAAGGGACACAGGAAAAAATGTGGAGCGAGGAGGAGGAGGTGCTGGCCACGTGGCCTCAGGGTCCAGGCTTGGGGGGTGGGGGTGGGGACTGAGAGCAGCCTTACCGGGTGTGCTGCTGGAGATGAGAGAGCTGGCGGAAGGATTTCTCACAGAAGTTACAACTGTAGGGCTTGGCCCCTGAGTGGATACGGATGTGCTGGGCCAGGTAGGAGCTGTTGGCGAAAGTCTTGGAGCAGTGTGGGCACTTGTGGGGCTTGGTCTCGGTGTGGGACTTGGAGTGGATCTGCATCTCCGACTTCGAGTAGAAGGTCAGGGAGCACATCCGGCACCTGGGCCAAGGGAGGGCAGCGGTTAGGACTCTGTCCACCGAGCGGGCGTGGCTGAGCCCGCCCCTCCGCTGCCAGGGATGCCAACCCCTATGATCTCTCCTGTGCCAGCCACACCGCGGGCCCTCCAGAGGAGGGGCTCTATTTTATCTATCCTGACAGCCTACGCTTCCAACACTGCCCGGTACAAAGTGAGTATTTAATTCAAGTGTTTGCTTAATGCCTGGACTCCCCAGTGTGTACATAAACAAGAATTCAACCAGGTGAGACAGGAAAACCTTATGACTGGCCCTGGGCTGACGTGGATTCACCTCACACCCGTCTTCCTTCTGCCTGTAACTTGATTTCAGACTTTTTAGCACCCCTTCCTCCAGGATCCCATGGTGAAAGGACATTCCTTGGGTAACCCTCCAGCTCCTGAGAGGACAACAAGGACAAACTGACTAGGTTCCCCAGAAAGACTTTTCTCCTGTCTCAGATTTTCTCCTACTTCTTGTTTGACAGTGAATCTAGATTCCTTCCAAGAGGGACGGGGTGGAGAAATAGCAGGATTACTTGGAGGGGGCCTTCCCCAACCCTGTGTCTGGCCTCCACCCTGTATCCAATGCTCCACCCACTACCCCACCCCCAGCCCCTTGCCAGTCAGGTGAGAACTACCTCTGCAATGAGCCAAGGAAACTGCTGGAGGGGGCTGTACCCCTCAAACGTTCAGGAGAAGACGACTGGCCAAACACTGAGCTTCCCACTGAACCTTTGCTTGGCGCCAACGCCAGCACCTCAGGTTGGCATCAGCAGCGTCTGAGTGAACTTGCACTCGTCACCTGAGCTGGCAATCCTCCTCCTACTACACTGCCCAGCAATATCAAATAAGGAGGTGTGTGGGCAAGGTAAGTCACAGCTATCTAGACTTTACTGGGAAAAAGCTACATAGTCTCTACATGAGCTGGAACCCTATCACTCCTGAACAACTCAGCAGCAGATGACATGGGCTGCCAGCGAGGGCCACAGCCTGGGGGCCAGGGCAGTCTGGACCCTCTGCTCTGGGTCCTCCTCCTTGAAAAGGAGCTCAGGGATGGTGAAGGGGGATTCTGCCTTTTTGCTGATCCCAGGAGAATTTTCAGAGAATAATTAAGATGGGGACTAAAAAGAACTCTTGATCTCCTCAGAGAAGATGAGACTCTAGTGAGTTGGGGATACAGTTCCGGTGTTAATGCTTCCACTAAAACGCTCACCAGTAAGGCTAATTTCTATTCTCAAGTTGCCTGAAAACTGAAGGAAATCCAATTACCAGCTGACCAACCCCTTGCTGTAGTCTGGGATATCCACCCATTGTGTGTGTGTGTGTCTATCTGTGTGTGTATGGGGGGGGGGGGGTTGCTGTTTATAGTCAGCAGGGTCTAACGGAAGTCTGGACACCTGGGCTCTACGCAGGGTTCAGTTACAGGCCTGCTTGTCAGTCTAGACCTCGATTTTCTGGTCTGTAAAATGGAGAGAGAAATATCTGCCCCTCAAAGACCCAGAATGGTCAACAGTAAGCCAAGTGTTCTCCAGTGATAGAATTGCATTAACGTTAGCAGCACCAGTGCTGGACGAGCTCATGCTACTCTATATTTCACTAAGACCAAGGTTAAAAACTAGGTAGGTTGTCACTTGGAGGAGAAACTGCACTAAAGTTACAAGATAATTTCCTTCCACCACTAAGATTTCTCAGGTGGAAAGACACACCCACTCATGTTAATTCCAATGAAACCTCATTAGTTTGCATGTGAATGCTGAACACATAACTGTACCCTTCATCTGGAATTAATTATAAAAAAAGAGAAACAAGCCTCTTCCATCAAAGTTTTCAAACTACGGAAGATCTGCCAAACTTAAATTCATCAAAAATGTGCCATCTCCAGAGGGGTGAGTATCATACAGATGATTGTGATAATAACTCAATACTAACGGGCATTAACAGATACCATTTGCTGCTGTGCCTGAACTAGGACCCCCTTTAAAAAAAACAAAAAACATGTATTATTCATTGATTTATTTGGCTGCACTGGGTCTTAGTTGAGGCATGCGGGATCTAGTTCTCTAAACAGGGATCGAACCCAGGCCCCCTGCATTGGGAACAGAGTCTTAACCACTGGACCACCAGGAAAGTTCCTTGAATTAGGCCCTTTAAACACACGGTTTCCACTCCTCACAACAATTTGGCAAGCACTGTCCTGTTTTACAGACAGGAACACAAATGCTCAGAAAGGTGAAGCCATTTGCCAGAGGACAACCCATGATTCATTCTCACCCGACCTAAGACTCCTCACTCTAGAGGGATCGAGGGAGAGCCAGACCACTGCAGCATCTGCCAGAAACAGTTAAACACTGAAACTACAAGGAGGCTTAGGTGACCATTAATGTACTTCCATCTCCAAAATCCTCTGAAGCCAAATAAATACAAATCTAATGCCAGGTGTGTGTGTGGGGAGGGCGGGGGGGGAACCTGACTAGGAGACCTGTGGCAGTGGGCAGAATAGGAAGGCCAGTGTCCTAGTCACGGGCACACAGCTCCGGCGGCCGCAAGGGTGCCCCTGTGGAGGCATGCAAGGCCATGGCCTTGGTTACATGAACAGCTTTGAATTAATGACTCTTTTTTCCCCCAAGATGATCAAAAACATTTGGATACTCAGATATTCCTCAGAACATTTCCACAAGAGATGAGGGCCAGGATGAATCTTCCTATTTTACAAATGGGAATAGAAAGCGAGAAATAAGTTTACTTGCCCAGAGAAAAAGAACCCAATTCCCTCAATGCCCAGTCAAATGCTATGGACCACAGGAGTGGTCGTGGTTGGTTGACCCACACATGGACTGCAAACGGGATTGTTCATGATTAAAAAGATTCCTCTGGCACCTCAGAGTTCTGAGTTTCTTAAGCAATTCCGTTTACCTATAACATAGGTGTGTTGGTTTAGTTTCTCAGTTGTGTCTGACTCTTTGTGACTCCACGGACTAGGGTCCGCCAGCCTACTCTGTCCATGAAATTTCCCAAGCAAAGATACTGGAGTGAGTTGCCATTCCGTTCTCCAGGGGATATTCCCAACCTAAAGATTTAGTCCCCTTTAAATTCAGAGTTCCCTTTAGCCACCTGGAGGTGGGGCTGGTCAAGAATTCCAAAAACACTGAGGGTGTGGGAAGTCCTGTCACGGCTGTCCTCCAATTGTAAGCTCACACTTCTTTGCACATGCAGTGTGAGAAGTCCAGAAATGGCTCTCACGTGGGTCCAGAAAGCACATGAGAAACCACAGCAGAATCAGAGGACCCCGATCCCTGTGAAGGGCCCCCCAGTGTCAGGGAGCCCTCCCATCACTTCTACAAGGAATGAATTCATTGAGCTGTGGCTCTGTGTCACAATGACCTCACTTTAAGCAAATACATAAAAACCCAGATTTGTACAGTATAAATTTAAAAGGGATTTTCATTTTATTAAATATATAAAACGATGCCTTTAAATGAATCAAGCTTGTCAAGTACCTTTATGATATGACATGATGTAAACATTTTTCAGGAACACTTTTACTGTATAAAGTAGGGTACACCTGCAATAATAAAGCTGCAGTGAACTTTCAGGTTATGAGCTGGAATTCTGCAGTGCTCAATACTTTCTGCAGAGCACAGCAACACTCCCCTTATTCTGAATTACAAGATGACTTTTAAACGATCTGAACTCTCCATGGTAGAAATGTACAACACATAAAAAATAAATAAATGCTACGTGATGACCATTTCTTATCTGTTTTGAAGTTCCCAACATTTCAATCTTATCTGATATATACTCCCAACGACTGGGAAGCATAAACAGAATTCTCCCCATTTTACAGATGAGGAAACTGAGGCCCAGAGAGGGGAAAAGGACTTGCCCAGGGTCACACAGCAAGTTCGTGGTGGAGCCGGGAACTGAATCCATGAGCCCAAGGCTCTGTCCATTTCCTGTGCCGCAGTTCCCTTCGCTCCTAAAATGGGAACAACATTGCCCATCTCGGTACACTAAGGACAGACCCAGTCTCCCAGCCATGCACGTCTGCCCGTCTGCGTCAAAGCTTCCACAGTGCTTACTCCACTCTGTACACTGGGGTTAAACTCCCCGAACCCTCCAGGGCCCCTGATGGTTCTCAAGGGGAATAAAAGATTTCCAATTTTCAAAGGGTAGGGAGTTCAGATAATGTAACCATTTTCATATAGTATCACATGCAAATATGCTTAGAATGCTTTTTGGCAATAGGCAACTTAAAGGAAGTAGGAGATGAAAAGAACTTCCATGAATGAGAAGGTGAGCCAACAGCCATTTAACAAGCGAATATTCCACAGGGGGGAGGGGAGGGATCCTATTTGCTCCACCTTTTAATACAGACCCCTCCCATCATCCCGTCATCCCAACCATGCAGGGTCAGGCAGGCTCAATGCTCAAACAGGGCCCACAAACTGGTGGATGGCACACAGGTTAAGATTAGCTGCTTAACCAGAAAAGTTTCTTGGAAAAAAAGGAATGGAAAATGTAGAAAGCAAAAAGGAGAAACAAGAGTCTTGAACCTAGTCTAAAGTCTCGTAACAAGACAGAAATTCCATTATGTCACCCCCAAATAAGTCAATGCTGACGACCCCCAAAAATGAAGGGGCGAAATGGGTCTGCCTCCTGGGGAAGAGGCCACAGAGAGGGCCAGCAGCCCCGTCTTCCTCCCCCTCAACTGAACGCCTGACATGCACATGGATCTGAGGTGGAAGCTGCCAGAGCGCCGAGCCTGATGGGGCGGGGAAGCTGAGAGCGTGGCAACCCCTCCAGCCCCCGGCTCTACCCTTACCTGTAGGTCTTGCCGTCTTTCTGATGGTCATCGTCGTCCTCAGGGGAGAGGACATAAGGGTCATTCATCTCGGGCAGCCCCGACTCCAGCATCCGCTTCTTCTTTCGGCCCCGGGGGGGCTTAGCGGCCACCACAGTGCCGCCGCCGCCACCGCCGCCGCCACCTTCCTCGGTGAGGGTCGATGCTACTTTCTTAGAGAGGTCGGGGACCACCTGCAGGGCTTGTGAGCCAGGGGGAAGAGCTGAGACAATCATGGGAGCCGAGATGGGGAAGGTCTGAGCTGACGTGGCTGTGGTCACGAGGGAGCCTGAGGGGGACGTGATAACCAGGCCGGGACCTAGGATTGCGAGAAAAAGGAGATGGTGTCATGTTGTCTGGTCCTCACCCTGGTCCTACTTCATTTTCCCCAGATCATTGTCTATGTAGCCCCTCACCACCGTCCCCCCGCCCGGAGTACACAGGAAACCCCAAGCCCTGTAGAGAAACAACGGTCTCCTAACCCCTGTCCCCACCCCGCCCCGGTAACAGTGAGATTTACCCCTTGATTGACTCCCTTCTCTTCTCCACCTCTGAGAACAGGAGACGCCTTGATTCAGAGAAGGAAAGAATGTCACCTCCTCAAAGGCAGGGACCGCATCTTCTACTTCTTTGTTTCCCCCACAATGCCTAGCGCATTGCTAGGCACACAGTAGGCACTTAATAAAGATTTGATTGAGGAATCAAAACACGTATCCCACTCCCCATGTCCCCGGCGCCCTCCAGCCTGGGGTACTGATCGCGGAAGATCAACACCTCAGATTGGAGAAGAGCGGAGGTTCTCACCGGCGGTCATCAGTCCTGTCGACGGCACGGGGACCACCGTGATGTTCTGGGTGACCGACGCCTGGCTGTGCGGGGTCAGCTGGTCTGACTTGGACTCTGTGTCCATGCTGATGCCCGAGGGCAGGGACACCGAGGCAGGCACTGTCAGCAAGGTGGGGTAGTGGGGCGGAGCCAGCCCACAGCCCTTCTCTGGCAGCAGCTGATCCTTCATCTTGTTGATAAACATCGTGTTCTCAATCTGAAAGGAAAGGAAGGGGAGAGCAGCCTTTGAGAGAAGGTCCAGCCCGCATGCTCCTTTGGCACCCTGCTCCGTGGAGACCAAAAGGCGGTGGTAAATGGCTGCGCTTCCAGAGATTAGCTGAGTGGAAACGCTATATAATCCTGGGGAGACAGCATGGGATTTATCTTACTTCAGCATCCACAGTCACAGAACTTGCTACTCAGAGCTGACAGAATTATACAAGGGAGCCAACCACCACCTACCTGTCCTGAGACCGTGGGGATTGAAGGCCAGAAGTACGGGTTAGAATTGAAGTGAGATTCTTCCATTCTACCTAAAGATGGAAAGAGACACCATGTCACAGGCAGGAATAACTTAAACCAGCTCAGCAGTGGGGAGAGGAGCAGAGGAGCTCCTGATCTCTTCCCACAGGGCTGGGAATGAGCCCTCAGACCTGGAACACGGGTCCCCATGGTCAGGGCCCTTGGCACTACATCCGCATCCAACCGAGGCTCCTGGATCAGATGCTGGGGAGAGAGCTTGTTTACCCACACAGTGCTCCCTGTAGCCCGAAGAAACAGAACTGGCACTGTTTCTTTTGCTAACAAGAAGAGAAACTGAAGTCATGGGCTAGCCTGGTGGCTCAGTGGTAAAGAACCTACCTGCCAAGGCAGGCAACACGTATTTGACTCCTGGTCTGGGGAAGAGCCCACATGCCACGGGGCAACTAAGCCTGAGCGCCACAACTACTGAGCCTGTGCTCTAGAGCCTGGAAACCACGACTGCTGAGCCCATGCGCCCCAGAGCCTGTGCTCTGCAACAAGAGAAGTCACCGCAATGAGAAGCCCACGCACCACAACTGGAGAGTAGCCCCTGCTCATCCCTTGTAGCAACAAAGACCCAGTGCAGACAAAAATAAAATAGTATGCTAGAAATTAAGAAGAAAGAGAAAGAAAACTGCAGTCCTTCCATGAGAGAGGAAGGCAGGGGCCCATGTACACACAAAGCAGATCACTGATCAGGCTGAAAAGAGCCAGGGCATCTATCCTTGTTCCTCTCCCTTCATCCCTCAAACCCATCTTCCTTGAAATAAAAAAAATTCCAAGGGTTCCAATCCACATGTCTATAGGTCACACAGCTTGAAAAGGTTCTTGGTCAGAACACAAAATGCCCATGGAAATTAAAGAATGAAACTGATGAGAACCAGAATCACAATACTTTGGGGCTCCATATGATATCTGGGAGCCACGCCCCCCCCCCCCCCCCATCTCCTCAAAGTGTAAGAACAAACTCAGTGCTGCACTGGGTACCACACACCCTGGACTGAGCAGCGAGAACATGCGCTAACCAGTTTGTTCTTTAAATATATATTTATTTGTCTACCCTGTGTCTTAGTTGTGGCTCAAGGGACCTTTGTTGCAGCATGCGGGATCTAGTTCCCTGACCAGGGATCAACCATGGGAGTGTGGAGTCTTAGCCACTGAGCCACCAGGCAAATCCCTGGAGTATGCAGTTTTAAAAGGGGTGCTGGCTCCAGCAGTAGCAGCAGGACCCCGGATCGCCACCTAAAGGGCTCAGAACAGGGACTTTGGTGGGCCAGAACACACACACGTTAGGAGACCCCTCTGGAGTTCTCAAACACTGCCTCTACGAGCTCAAGTTCTCTGTGTGCAGATGACGCGTGAGTGTGAAACCCTGGGAGTGAGGAATAAGAAAAAAGAAAAGGGATCCCTTAGAATCACACTGCAAGTCACCGATGGGTCTGAAACCCAGGCAAGGGATCCCACCACTCACTCTCTTTTTTGTTACTGTTTTTATTTTTTAAATGTATTGTTTTAATTGGGGTGCAGCTGACCCACCGCTGGCTCTCACACTCTGATCACTCTTCCTGGCAAGGCTTAATTGCAGGCCGCTGGTCCACAGTAGCTCCCCAAAAGTCTGGACCAGGGGACATCCGGGCCAGCAGAAGCAGGTGAAGGGGAAAGAGAGAGCTGGGAAGGGACGTGAAGCAAAGCGGGAACAAACATGAACACCTGCTCTGGGCCAAGAGCAATCAAGCTCCAGGAGGGGCGAAAGACTCGCAGGAGGCACTGCCTTATAGCCACGGTCCCGCCAAGGACACACTGGAGCTGGACATCAGGGATTCCAATAGCTGGAGGGGAGACTGGGCCGAGAAACTGGGTCCCAAGAGGTGACTAAGCAAACCAGGAAAGTGCTCCAACAAGGGAGGTGGAGCCAAGGATCTCACTGAGACGTAACCCTGTTCCTCAGCCTCTGAGAAGTCTCAGCACACTTACTGCTCTCAAAATTGAACAGAACTCTCCATTTTCTTAAAACCTATGAGTGGAAACAGAAGTGAATTTCAGCCTATTCGTTCCCCAGAAAGGAGAGGACAGGAATGCACCAAATCTGCGGCAACCACAGCCTCACAGGAGAGGCTCAACCTGAAACGCCTCGAGGGTCAGGCACAGGCACACCCAGCTCCCTGAGGTATAAACACAGTAAAACTGGACACTCTCCACCCAGGTGCTACCCGCTTGCCCACCCGTGCTGGTTTATAAAGGGAGGGCCCTCTGCAGGCATTGGAAGTTGAGAAACAATGAGATAACAGCATCAGGGGATCCAATCCGGCCCAGCTTTGGTGAGAGGCAGGGGCCACATCTTGAACTTGTTTCCCGACTCTATAACACAGGGCCCATCTCCTAGTAAGCAATTCTGTACTTAGCGAATCCAGTGACAGCAGCTGGATCTTGAAAGCCATGCCCAGGGCTCCAACTTGAACCTAGGCCCCACCTTCTTTCTGGCTAAGAGACAGGCTGGTGAAAAAGACAAAGGTGGTGACTATGCTGGAAAATGAAGTAGAGAATTATGCTGGCAAGTAAAGGAAAGGTGGGTCTGGGACTTTCCTGGCGGTCCAGTGGTTAAAAATCAGCCTTGCACGCAGGGGATGTGGGTTTGATCCCTGGTCGGGGAACTAAGATCCCACATGTCTTGGAGCAACTAAGCTCACACCACAACTACTGAGCCCACACGCCACAACTAGAGAGTCTGCAGTGCAACAGAAGATGCCACACGGCGCAAGGAAGATCCCCAGTGCCTCGACTACAACGATGCAGCCAAACAAATAATAAATACATACGATTTTTAAAAGAAGTTTTTTAAATAAAGGAAAGGAGGGTCTAACTATAATTTCCCCCTAAAGAGTCAAGGAAGTCAACTCATTATGGATGTGACAATGTAGGAGGGAGGAACTGAGAGCCTGAAAATAAGGTTTTCCTCCAACAGGATTCCTGCGCACAAGGCCCCCTGTACCTCCAAACTACATTCATTCATAGTATCCACTGGGGGCTCTGGAGAAGCGATTTCTGGGTCAAACATGGCCTGTCGGTTCTTACACAGGGGCGCCAAGTGATCTGGTGGATGGAATCACCACCGCCATAATTAAGTGCCGACTGTGTTTTAGGAACTGTTCAGAGCACTTTACAACCATCACACCATTTAATCCTACAACAATTTTATGAAGCAGGATACCAAAATCCCTGTTTTTTTTCTTCTTAAAAATTTTTATTGAAATAGCTATTTCCAGTGTGATGTTACCCATTTTTCAAATGAGGAAACTGGAGGCAAACAGTAAACAGCAGAGCAGGAATCTGAACTCAGGACCAAAGAGCACGCTGGGAAAGGGTCCTAGGTGAGACCTGCTCTGGCACGTGCTCTCTCATACTGCGGGTGATTCACGACTCAAAATTGAGACCATTTCCAGGGATGGACTATACACTGTGCAGGTAGTTCCCAATAAATGTTTTCAAAAATGAAGTTTTCAGGGAATACCCTGGCAGTCCTGTGGTTACGACACTGCACTTTACTGCCATGGGCCTGTGTTTAATCTCTGGTTGGGGAACTAAAATCCCAGAAGCCCCGGCTCAGCCAAAAACAAACCCCAAAATGAAGCTTTCAATGACGCCAAATGCAGTGAAAGATGATATTCACCTGGCCACCAAAATAAGGGATTTTAGAATGATGGAGTCTGAGTTAAAAGACCAGACGAGGGGAATATAGGCCCCTCCACCCCCACCTCATACTCTGTTCACTCTGCCCTCGTCCTTAAAAGAACAAAGCTGCAGATCAGAACCATGGCTGTTCCCAGGAGAGAATGATAAACCTGACTGTGGGCTTCTGATAAATATATTGGACCAAAAAGGGGGTACACGGGGAGCCCTGCTCACCCAACTAGAAGCAATACTTGCCAGCAGGGTGACACCTGAGAAAGGTCAACACTGTCCTGATGAGGCCAACTTACATCTCTGTATCCTTGATCTGAGATCAGACAGAAGCCAAGAAGGAAAACTGCTGCCAGAAGACATGTCAACGGCGCCCCCTGGGGTTGTGTCACAGGGCGCCCCGGCCGGTGCCAGGTCACTCAAATACCTGCCAACTGTTGTTTTACCCCTTCTCCTTTCAACTCTCTATGCTGCACGAAGGAACTTCCACCAAACCATCCTGACATCTAAGCAGGCACATGTCAACAGTCTTAAAACCCAAAGAAGGTAATGATATTACAGAGAAACTTCATCTCCATACAGAGTGCCAGGTTTTTTTTTTGTTGTTTCTTTTGCTTATTTTTTGTTTTCTATTTTGACTGTGCTAGGAAGCTGGTGAGATCTCAGTACCAGACCAGGAATAGAACCTGGGACATGGTATTGACAATGCTGAATCCTAACCACTAGACCACCAGGCAACTCCCCATAGAGCACTAAGTTTGATGATTATGCCAATATGTTAAAAACAAAAGCAAACAGAACAGGTGACCCTAGACTGGGAAGGAAGGGGAAGACTTCTTTCACAGCCCCAAAGTGCAGGCAAGAAGGAAAACACAATACGTCGAAAGAAGATGTTGGCAGACTGAAAATTTGCCAACTTTAATTTAAACTTTACTACTGCACCATGCCTCCACTGTTCACCAGTGAGAAGTTGGAGAACACATTTTTTTCAAGAGGTTCAGGAAACTACATATTCCTCTTCCAATCTTAAAAGAACTCTTGGAAGACCGAGGAAATGAAAACAACATTCTCTCACCCAACCAACCTTTAGGAAATCATGAAATACACCAACCAAATTTAGTAGCCAGAGGATGGACCGAGGAATCAAGGCTTCCAGAATCTATATCTGGCCCTATACATCAGTGGATGACTCTGAATAATTTACTACTCAACTAAGTTTCTACTTGGGTGGAGGATGGAAGAGTATAACCCCCTTAAAACAAATTCATAAGACATACAGAGATGAGATGGAGACAACACAAAAAAGAATCAAATGCTCGAAGTATTCCTAAAAAGAAGAGCGTTAGAGAAATAATTCCACCTAATGAGGACTTAGTAGTGACAATTAGTAGAAGTTACATAAAAGTTCCAAAATTACAAAGGAACTATCCCAAAGTATCACAACTATAGCCTCCAGCTTACTAATGACTAACTAGAAGCACTAACAAGAGAGATGCAAAGAATAACTAACTCGAATTCAACTACAGAAAGAACTTGACACATGGATCTCAGACTCTCCACTAACTGCTCCAAGATGCACAACTGCAGAAAGATTGCAATATTAGTTAAGAACTTGAAGCGAAGAAGCAGCAGGACCATTTTTCGTCAGTTAGGAAACAAATCTTTTTCTCAAGTCCTAAGGGCCTTCGAGAAGGGCCATCCCAACAGGATTTGGGGCCCTGCTACCATGAACTCTTCCAACTACAAAATAATTCAGAACAGGTTTATCCCAACTCTGTTGGGAAAGATCAGCACACCAGGCTCAGAAAGACGGACAGAACCTTAAAGCTGGCAACCTTCTACCCTGGGCCCCACTGGATCACTGCACCTACACCCTGCAGGAAGCGCACCACAGAGGTTCTCCTTGCCTTGCCTATTCCACTAGTAACTGACAGGCCTGGACAACATGAGGCAGGAAAGAAAAAAAAAGGCTGGAGATGAGAGGATGTGCACCTAATATTTAATCATCAATTCAGCTCAGAAACCTACAGGGGAATACATTTTATAAACCAGCCTGGAACTGGTTCTCAGAAGACACTGCTAGAATTATAAGCTCTTTGGGGTTGATATATTGTCATTTTCAGACCACCTGAAACCCAATCACCATCAAGCCTCCTATTCTGAATTCTTTCAGACCTACTACTTCTGGAATCCATTCCATACAGTTTTATCCATTTTTACTTCAAACTACCCATGAATCAGTTCTTTCCCCTCCAAAACTTCACCCTGCCATATATCAAATTCAAATAACTCCTTGTCACAGACTCGAATCACTCACCAGATCCACTCCAAACACTGATGCAATATTAAAGACACAAACTCCACTCCAAACTCAGTTCTGCTTGGCAGAAGGCAATTCCATAAGCTATGCCACAAAGGCTACACTGGCAACTAGGGCCCATGTGTCCCCAGAGCAGAATAAATCTCATATAAACAGTGCAATGCTTACTGCAACTGCTTAGTGATTTCACTTGAGCATTTCCCAACTCATTCATGATGAGAACTGGTGGGAATGGAAGGTGATGGGGGTTACAGTGGCAACTTTCTGCACAGAACTTCCTGGGTATCCTCAAGAGATAACAGGAAGAGGCTGATTTTTCTCCCACAGCAAACCCCAGGATTACAATTGCTATTACTTGAAAAATTCTGTCACGTTGTTCAAAAAAGGCCCATTTGATGATGACCCCCTTCTTCCCCCAAACCAGAAAAGCCATTAACCCCAAATTGTCTTACCCTCTCTCTCTCTTCCTCCTGTCGTCTTATTCCTTGTCCTTTCCAGGGCTCCTGAACTTTCTGTAAACAAATTGTCGGGGTTACAGGGGCCGGTGAGGATGCAGCCACCAGGGAACTGTGGAGAAGCTCAGGAATTCTTTGACTGTCAGTACTCAAGACTAGAGGGCAGGCAGATCCCCCACCCCACCCCAACCTAGGGATCCAGAGATGCAAGGATACAGTAACAGGAGTGCAGAGCCACCCCCTATGTGGATACAAGGAAAACAAACCCAATTCCCAGCGACTGAGAAGAACTCTACCACCCCTGTGTGGGTTCCACCCCTGGGCTCAGACACTGGTTCTTCTAAGTTCCCGGGGGGGGGGGCCCAGGTGACCAAGGGTCAGAGAACAGAAGAGTTGGAGGAAGAAAAGGGTCCCTGCCTCCCGAGGATTCACTCAGGAGGCAAAGCTGAGGACTGGGGGGATGCACAAGGCCTTGTGTCAGGCACAGTGCCAGCTCAGGCCCAGGCACTTCCTCTGGCCTCCCCCCACTCTGCGAGGACTTCGCCCCTGCCTACCCAAGGCCCTGCGCCAAGAAGTACCTCCCTCAGCCTGCACAGTGGTCTAGCTACAGGAGTCCCCGGCTGTGCCCTAAACACCTTCTCTGCCCTGAGACAGCCCCTGGGCGCCTTCTCCTGAGGTCGCCCACCAGCCGTTCCTCAAAGACCCTTCTTTGGGACGCCCCTCCCTCCCCTCCAGGGAGCTGAACTCTGCCACCCACCAGACAGACACCCGCCCCCTAAACCCCCCCATTCCTCCCCATCGCCCGCTCCTCCACAACCACTTCCGGTTCCGGGACGGACACACGTACAGTCCCATCGTGGACCCCCCCTTCCCCGCCCCCCCCAAGGAAAAGGGGAGGGGGAAAGAGCAGAGAGCTCGGCGCGCGCCGGCTGCAGCGGCGGCGAGACTCACCAGGCGGCGGCGGCGGCTGCGGCGGCGCCAGAGCCGAGCCAGAGCGCGGGAGGGGCGGCGTTTGCTGGGAAGGAGGGAGCCGAGTGCGGTGGGAGGACCCGGAGGGGGCGAGGGGAGGGGGAGGGCGTCAGGCGAGCGCGCGGGCACGCACTTTAGGCGCGAGACAAACCCACACACTCACACGCAAGGATCGCGCGCGAGACACCCGCAGGGCGGGGGCGCGAGGCAGTGGGTGGCCCCCTCCCTCCCTCCCCTAATACTCACCCGGAAGTGGTGCTGCAGCTCGTGCTCCCGAGAACCCCGATTTCTCCACGCCCCCTCCCTCCCCTCCCTCCCCCCACTGACTCGGAGTTGAGCCGCGGCGGAGAGAAGGCGGGAGCGCCGGAAACGAAAAGGGGGGAGGGAGGGAAATAGCAATGTGGGGGGGCGGCAATGGGGAAAGAGGGGGAAATGCAAAGGTCGAGTCACTTCCGGGAGCGGCTAGAGCACATCCGGCGCGGCCCGGGCTCCAGGACACCCCGGGCGGAAGTTACGACTAGTAGGGGCGGAAGTAGCTTCTGCCTGGGGGACGGGGTAGACCCTTCAGGGATGTGACGACACCACGGAAGTGAAGGCGGGTTCTGCTAAGGAAAGGAGCCGAACCTTCAGAACAGCGGCCTCGGCTTCCGGAAGGGACTTCTGGGGAAGTGGGAGGGTGGGAACGCGACAGGTTTATGAATTATGCATCAAGGTAGGAGGGGCGGTATGGACTCTTTAAAGACCGGTCCTGGTTCCCTAACCCCCAAGGGGCGATAGGCTGACTTAGGGACTTACCATTCTTTTTTCTTATATACTCTCAAGGATGTCTCAATGCTTTGAATATGCAGGAAAGGAAAAGAATGTGCCAGTAGTTTTCTGAGATCCCTCAGGGCCAAAGAGTAATAACTTCTCCCAACCATCAGAATCAGATCCCTGCCTGACCACAGCCCTTAAACCTTTTGCTTTGGTCTCTAAGTTCCTGTGGCACATCTCGTATCTCCTACTTACGCGGCTTTACTTTTAAATACAACAGCCACCTCTCACTGATACTTTATTGTCTGTTGTCCTTCCACCGGAATATCGTCCCCACGAGAGCAAGCACTCTGAATTGTTCACTGCTGTGTTCTCGGAGCCTAGCACTTTGTAAGCGGTTGGTAAACGTTTGTTGCATCAGTGAACAATTCATGTGAACTCTCTCAGGAAGCCTTCCTTGGTTGTTCCAACCTGTAAGTGTCCCACGTTCACCAAATTTCAACAGCATTTAGTCACTGCTTTTTTCTAAAAAAAAAATTCATACACACACACACGCACACACACGCACACACACACACCTCTGGAGAAGGGCACTGGCAACCCATTCCAGTATTCTTGCCTGGAGAATCTCATGGACAGAAGAGCTTGGGAGGCTACAGTCCATAGGGTCACAAAGAGTCAGACATTACTGAAGCGACTTAGTACTCACACATATGTTTGTATGTATGTGTGTGTGTGTGTGTGTGTGTGTGTGTGTGTGTGTTAAGCTTAGTCGTGTCTGACTCTGCGACCCCATGGATTGTAGCCCACCAGGCTTCTCTATCCATGGAATTTTCCAGGCAAGAATACTGGAATGGGTTGCCATTTCCTTCTCCAGGGGATCTTCCCAACCTAGAGATCGAACCCTGGTCGTGCGCAGGACAGGCGGATTCTCTACCAGCTGACCCGCCTCCCTGGTGGCTCAGAGATGTGGACTGTGAAGAAGTTAATCCAAGCAGGGAACCCCATTAGCAATCCTCTTATTGTCATTCAGCTTAGCCATTTCATGCATTCATGAACAAAATTTATTGACTTTTACTATGATTTATGGGGCTTCCCTGGTGGCTTAGCTGGTAAAGAATCCACTTGCAATGCGGGTGACCCGGGTTGGGTTCGATCCCTGGGTGGGGAAGATCCCCTGGAGAAGGGAAGTGCTACCCACTTGGGTATTCTGGCCTGGAGAATTCCATGTACTGTATATTCCATGGGGTTGCAAAGAGTCGGAAAGGACTTGGTGACTTTAACTTTCAATTTCTTTCATGTAACTTTTCAGCAAAATTATCAGCAGCTCAGGAAAACTGTCTCATACATGGTACCCTCCCACTGCTTTGCTGAGCACACAGTAGATGCTAAATAAATACATGTTATTTGAGTAAATGAATGCTGCCACCAGGCTGCCCCAGATCTGAGCCGAATCCCTCTGGGCTCAGCTCTATTTTGAGTGAAACAGAATCAAAGTGCCTCCCATTAGCAGTAATAGTTCCTTGCCTAGAGATCAAAATAACCTGTATAGCAATAACTATAATGCCAAATTTTACAGAAAGTGAAACTAAGATTGTAAAAAGACTTTTGATTTTTCCCAAGGTCACAGTAAGGAAGTAGCAAAAGACATCTAAATATAAAAATTTCAATTAAATATTTAAAGAGAAGATACATATTTTGGCTTGTAACTGTATCTTTTTAAAACTGTCTGCTCTCTTAGAGGGAGACTCACAGACTTGGAAGACGGAACTCATGGTTGCCAGGGGAAGGGATAGTTAGGGACTTTAGGAAGGTCATGTACTCACTGCTATATTCAAAATGGATAACCAACAAAAACTTACTGTATAGTTCATGAACTCAATGTTATGTGCCAGCCTGGATGGGAAGGGGGTTTGAGGGAGAATGGATCCATGTATGTGTGTGGCTGACTCCCTTCACTGTTCACCTGAAACTATCCCAACATTGTTAATCAGCCATGCCCCAATACAAAATGTTTTTGGTGTTTAAAAAATTAAAAATTTTTTTAGAGTGCTCTCTTTATCACATTTTGGGACTCTGTAATCAGCCTGTGTTAAGCCAGGAGCAACAGTTGGCAGAATAAGGGTCTGAAAGGTGCAGATATGAACAGACCTAGTTGCTCTATGGGTTAGAGATGGATGATTTTAGAAACCTTGACTTTGGGGACTGAGAGAAAAGCAGGAGCAAAATGGCAGTAGTCACTGTAAGTCCTGGTTCTCCTGTTCTTTTCCTGTTTGCAATAACTGGTACCCCTTTGGGCCTCAGTGTCTCCAACTGTCAGCCCTGCTCCTCCTGCCCTTGGTATAAAAAGCAAGTTTTAAGTGCTTTGAACTCCTTAGAGAAAAGCTTTAGAAAGAAATGTGGGGCGTAGGGGGAGGAGGGCTGTTAATTTTAGCCTGGGGTTTTCCAGCTGGCACAGTGTTTCCATCTTGAATCACTTCCACACCCTGAGCTCTGCCTGGGAGATCCCTCCTCCTGGGGGCTTCCCCACTCCCTGGTTTGGTCTGAGCCACAATGGTAAGCATTCCAGAAAAATGCTTCAGAGAAATCTGGCTTAGTCATTTGATGAACAACAGCTCAGGAGGCAAAGGAAGCATAGAGATGAGAGATACTCGTCCCAGTAGGTACTGATGTCTGGGCTCCACGAACCAAAGGGGTAGTATGGCCACTCTTTGTGTTTTTGGTCTGTGACTGAGCAGTGACTCTCTGCCATTTGCAGCCCTCCAGGACCTTCCCAGGCCCCACAGTTTCAGTTTCAACTCTACAAAAGAAAGTTAGGATTCTTCTCCAGGGCCTCTTCCTGGTTAGCTTGGTAATGGGATGTAGTTTGGGATCATTCCTTAAGACAGGAATCCCTGGTGGCTCAGATGGTAGAGAATCTGCCTGCAGTGCAGGAGACCCAGGTTCCATCCCTGGGTCAGAAGGATCCTCAGGTTGGGAAGATCCCCTGGAGAAGGGCATGGCAACCCACTCTGGTATTCTTGCCTGGAGAATTCCATGGACAGAGGAGCCTGGTGGGCTACAGTCCATGGGGTTGCAAAGAGTCAGACATGACTGAGCCACTGACATTCCTTAAGACAACTCAGGAGATCGAGACATCTTTCTCCTCTGTCCTTCCCCCACCATCTGACATTCCCTAGGGAAGGAGGGCATTTAGGGAGAAAGAACAGGTTAAGGATTTCCTGTGTCTCGCTGGTGTGTTTTAATTTATTTAAATTTAGAGAAACAGCAGTCTAATCAGGCGGTAATTAATTCACTCTTCATTAGGGGCCTTTATGCATGCCTTCTGCATATGGATGAGCCTCGGGGTCACACTGTCCCTCTGAAGAGGAAGGTGGTAAGAGACAAGTGCCGTCCAGGCACTTCAGCTCTTCCCCTTCAGTGCCTCCTCTTCCCCCAACCTGACCTAACAGGGACTAGATTCCTTTGGGGAAGAGAAAGGTTCATGAGGCTTCCTCTCCCGTCCTCCTTCTCCCCTCCTCCCCCATTCCTTGGGTCCCTCCCTCGCTGCCCCAGCCCATCCCAGCAGCACCTTTTTCCTACAATTCGGGTCCCATCCAGCCCTGTCCCATTAACCAGCTGCAGGCTGGGGTCTCTTCAGGTCCCACTGGATTGACTCAGCTCCCTCAGCAGTGTGTTTGCTTCGCACCTCTGCTTTTAGTTGGTTCATCACTCCTTGGCCTGGCTTTGCTGCCTCTTTCTCTTACGGAGTCTGATGCCCTGAATCCACATACTGCTCTGGTCCTGAGAAATACACTCCCTCCTCCCCGCTCACCGTTGTGTGCTGCGTAGACTCAGCCACACCTCACTGGTGTTACACAGTAAAGCTCCCCAACCCCTAAAACGCACCTATGGCCACACACACACTCCTGATTCTAGCTGCAGAAGTAAATACGCAAAGGCCAACAGAGGCCAGGGCAGTCCCCACTTACCTGTGACTGTCTCCTCTCCCTGGAGCTCCCCCATTTCCAGGGAGCAAGTGGGGCACAGATGGGGGTGGGGGGAGAAATAGGACCTGGATAGTTACCATGGCAACAAAGCCTAGCAACAACTGAGAGGCTGCTGTGTGGGCTTTTGCAGGGCTGTTACAAGAGCCAAACCTAGAACTGGGGGCTCAGAGGTGACTGATCCCAGCTGGGCAGCCTCTATTCCCTCCTTCAAATACACCCCTCGATGCCTCCCCCACACCCCAGCAGTGCCTCTTCAAGAGGGCAGAGCAGGAAAAGCTAATGAGAGTTAACCACAGGGCTTCTGGGGGACAGCTGTGGGTGGGGGGAGGTTAGGGAGCAAGGCTGAAAATAAAGCAAGCAGGGCAGCCAGCCTCTCTCCTGCGGCTCCCTTGTCTTGTTTCCATTGCTCCGTTTTTTCTTCTCCTTTTGCCCTTCACCTTCCACCTGCCTTATCAGCTCTCCTCTTCCTTTTCTGGCTGGCGCCATCGCCTGAGCTGCTACAGAAGTGTCCCCTTGCTCCGGCCTCCTTTCTCATGGTCTCTCTTGACCTTTGCTGGTAATTAACTAGCCACTCTTCCAGTTTGCTCCGGCTGCTCCTCATCAGGTCTGCTCCCGCCAGTGTCTCTTCCTTCAGCTCCATCCCAGATCAAAGCCCCCAAACCCCAACTCCGGGTCAGAGCAGGCCAGGTCACTCGGGTCTGGAGGGTCACCCCTCCATCCTCCTTTTCCTCCCTCTTGGCTGCCCATCGCCTTTCCTCCTTTCCTCTCTGCGGGGCTCATGAGGCAGAACCAGGGGACTCGGGTATCTTGCAAAGGCTTTATTTGAAAATTTTGAAACTTACATCCCACAAGAATTCAAGATTATCACCACAAGAAGAAAGAGATAATACAAAAATATATATCACAGCATAGGAGCCAGGTAAGAGAGGAAAGAAGGAAGGAAGGTGGGAAAGCCATGAGAAGTTGGGACAAACCTGAGGGGTGGAGGGAACAAAAGGCAGGAGAGCTGGAGGAACCAAGGAGGGAAGGGGCAGGTTGGGAGGCAGAGCTCCCCGATGGCCTTAAACCAGCTGGCCCCAGTCCCTGGCAGCCTAGGTGGAATTAGGGAGGCCCTCAGGCGGACTGCGAATTGGAGGACTTGATTGGGGGGGACGGTGGGGAGGAAAGGGGGCTCTGAGTTCCAGAGTGACACGCACAGACAGCCAGGACAGACGAGACAAGACAGAAGGACTTGGGAGGCAGGGGAGGGCAAATGGGGGCCCCTTTCTCCTGCAGTGCAGCAGGAGGCCCCCCAAAAGCCATCTTCCAGACAACAGAATTTAGCAGTGGGGTTAGGGAGGAGTTTTGGGGGCCTCATGACTCCCCATTTCCACAAGGGAGTCCTTAGTGTGGGATGGGGGACATGGTAAAACCCAAGACATGGAGTGGGGTGGGACTGGGACAGACGGGGACCCAAAGAGTCCCCAGCTCATCTCCCACCCCGCTCCGGGGCAGCATGCAGGGGACACA